TAATTATGTATGGAACACATCCTGTGTTTGCACAGACAGAAGTACAAAATAATGACAGATCATATGAAAATAAGTGATTGAGGTATTCAAGACTTTACATAGACATCAGAGCAGAGTGTCATTTATGACCTGGACTCCTGCCCCCAGAACTTGGTTCCTTGGCCTTACATGTCAATGGCACTTCAAGATCTCCAATTGCAGGCGTGTATTTGGTTCTTGGTCTATTGACCCTGAAGCAACAAGGGCTCAAGGTTAATTTCTTATCAATATTTTATTGTCAGATCTTTAATCAAAATGAGAGGTTGGAAACAACTAAGGTGTGCAGAAAGCAGGATTGGACACTAGACCTTCCAGACCATTAAGACCCATGTTTTATCTTTTTGCCTTGTATTAGGTTAGACTGAAGCAATTGATAAGACATGTTAAGTTTTCCAATAGCTTTTGATCCTGTGTTATATTAAACACATTTAATGAATTAAAATAAAAGTCAAATAATTGTTTAAGATTAAAAAATAGTTAATATCAAATTGCACTTTACTGTAATCTTCAAGATCTGGCTTTAATTTCTGTATCAGTTAGGCCTTCCTGACAAGTTACTGAGCCTCTTAAGTAAAACCTACAGTCTGCTTGTAAAAGGAAAGAATATTGACCAGCTCATAAAGTTCTTATGGGACAAAAATAAAGATTGTACTAAAGTGAGTTATGGAAATAATTACTGACAGTATATATTCAGCAACATGATTGAAGGGTCATTAACTTTCAGTAGAAGATCTTTTCTCCAATACACACTAACAAGCCTTGTTACCTTCTGAGTAACAGGATAAAGCCTTTTTCTTGTTACCTTCTGGGAGGAGACTCCGTGGTATTCGAAGCAGAACATCCAGATTCAGTCACAGTTTTGAGCTATACAGTATTACCTTGTGAACTCTAAAGCTTCCTCCTTCCGTTATGTATTCAAGATGGACAGCGATTAATAGTTATATATGTTACTTATATGTAAGATGTAGGCAGTGGTGGGATTCAGCCAATTTGCACCACTTCAGCAGAACCAGTAGCTAATTTTTTATTGCCCAGGCCCAGAATAGACTTCTGGAAGCGGCATCCACACAGAGAACCAGTTGTTCACATATTTGAATCCCACCACTGGGTATAGGTTTATACATATGTTGTATATAGTATGTTTAAATGTGTGTTATGTATGTGTACACTTTGAGAGCAAGCAACTAAATTTCATTTTTAATGTATGCCGTTGTGCCCACAGTAAAAAATGAAAATAAAGGTTATCTAATATCTAATCTAAAAAATATCTATTTCCTTTATACCTGATTTTCCTCAGCTGCAAATTTGCTTACTTTTCAAAGTTCTTAGATTATGTTCGCAAAAGAATTGAAAGATTTCTGTATGAATGACAAATGTATTCCTAATCGACTTTATCTCCAGTATCATCAGTTCTGATATCATTTGTGCTTAACTATGAAAATAACAATAGCAATAGAGTAGCAATAGTACACTTAAACTTAAACACTGTTTCATAGTCCTTTACAGCAAGAGTCCTCAACCCCCAGTCTGTAGAACAGTACCAGGCCGCAGCATGCCACCAGTCCGCACAAACAAGCAAAGCCCATTCGCAAGATGCAGGCAGCACACAAAACCATGCACTTTCCGGTCCGCGGAAAAACCTCTCTCCATGGAACCAGTCCCTGATGCCCAAAAGGTTGGAGACCTCTGCTTTACAGCACTCTCTGAGCAGTTTACAAATACAGCACATTTCCCCCAACAATCTGGGTCCTCATTTTACCGACCTCAGAAGATGGAAAGCTGAATCAATCTTGAGCCAAATAGGATCAAACTCCTGGCTGTGGGCAGAGCTAGCCTGCAATACAGCATTCTAACCACTGCACTACCATAGCTTGTCTTAAAGCCAAGTTTACACAAGCATACACAGAAGATTTATCTGCTCTTTTATAATTCTGATTAGCTCATGATGTGAGTTTTTCATGAGTAAAAATTTGCATTTGCAATGAAACAGAGGATAGGTTAAATTTAGCAGCTGAGAATATTTCCTGGAAATGTTTATACCTAGGTAAATAAAGGAGTAAAAGCAGAATTAAGCTCCTATTATTTAACTTGACCAAATTATTTGCTATGACCACGTGACATCAACTAATCAAGTATTCCAATTTGTAGAATTTACCAAATAGGATACCATATGTTAATGAAATTAAATCAGGAATAGAAATTTCTGATCTAATATAGAAGTTATTTCTGCATTTATGCTTTTCCAGTTTATTATAATTCCATTATGTTATGCTTAACTGCAAAAATATTTTCTTACTTCCATATTAAACTGAATGATTTATCTGACTAATGAAAAAAATAGGTTCATAAACAGACTTCTAATCTCGTTTCCATTTAAAAACTTCCTTGATATCCTGTGTCAGAAATAAATATTAGGCAGAAGGACTGTGTGATTTTTTTCCTGATGTTCATCCATTTCTCAAATATAGAATAATTAACTTTTTACTCAGGAGATCGTCAAAGTAAATTTGTCCTGCATGAACTCACAGTAACTCTATTACCTTGTGTCTGCCAAGAGAGCTTTTAGGTTGAAAATATAGCACTGCTTCAGCTGGAAAAATACAATCCAATATTTAGATGAGCAATGTTTACCTGCTAAAAAGGCACTATAGTGGAAGTATTTGTAACTCTTTTGCTATTTTGACTAGAGAAGAATCAGTTGGTTTCCCCTGCTACTCCACAAATTTGGTATTTTTATAAAAACAAAACAAACTTTATTCAGGAAAACATCTGAGAAATAATTAATATAATCACTCCCTTAGCAAAAAACTTGCTCCTTGGAAAAATTACTGTATGTACAGCAAGTACCTGCTGCCAAGCTTCTTCCTAACCTGGCATTCGTGACCTCTAGCGAACCACATTGGCTGATACTTTATACATCTACCAAAACCCAATTGTAAAATAAGAATAGAAATATGTGCATATTTACATAGGATTCCAAGTTCTCTGTCTCAGCACTTACTTACACCATATCTACATAGTGTATGCTCTGAACAAAGATTAACTACAAAAAACTTGCTCTGGTTATCCAATGCAGCCTAAAATGTGCCTTTAATTTCCCACATCCCAAGCTTTCTCTCCTCCCCAGGTCACTTTGCTCATCACTCCTTTCCCTGGTCACTATTCCCTGTAACTCCTAGTTGTTTGCTTTCTTGCTTTGTGTCCCACAACCCTTTTTACTCATATCCCACCACTGTCCTTATTATCACTACAGCCTGGCCACCTCTTCCCCCATCCCCTCTATTTCCCCAGTCTGATGAATTTTCCCCTCCTGTCAAACCATTTATCATTCTGCCCATTTCTCCCAACCCCTGGATAATCCTTTTTTCCTTCCTTATTACGCTGCCCATCTGTCTCTAGCCACCCTACTCCTACAGCCAATAATCCTCTAAAGAATAAAATAAGCAAAATAAAGCATTAACTTGCTACACAAAGGTTGGGCAGCCATCAGAGGTCAGAGTTGCACACCTGTATACAAAAAGGTAAAGATGACTGACTGTGTGTGTGTGTGTGTGTGTGTGTGTGTGTGTATTTGTGTGTATGTATATTGTTTAGAAATTTCATATTGCAATTTAAATGGAATTGAAAAACAATATTCATTTTAGATGCCAAGGACTCTTTTCATCATAATTTTTGCTTAACAGAGATGTAACATTTAAGTATTTGAACTGTGGATTATCTGGTTATTCACTCTGATTAATTTTGCATTTACTCTTCTAGTCTGATATGATGTAATCCATTTTTATTATTTAGATTTTAATTTCCTTTGGCAATAAATGGGAAACATTATTTTAAATGTATAAGTCTTTAGAGTAAAACAAACTGACTTGAGGCATGCAGTTCATCTAGTTCCAAATTAAAGTGATGTACAGGGCAGGCAGCAGAATTCATCATATGCTTGATCAGTGCTAAAAAAAAAGTCTATACCAATTATATATTATATAATTTGATCTAACAGTAATACTGATGCAATATAGCACAAGGAGTTTATGTTCAGTGAAAACTACTTGGAATATATTTATGTAAATTAACTGTACACAGTAATTTTCAGAATGAAATTGCAATTCTCCATGCTTACCTGGAAATAAGTTTAAACAAAATTAGGATTTAGAACCAAGCTATTGGGCACTGACTGGTTGAAGTGCACCAATAATCACAACTTTAAAATAAATGAAGCATAAAAACACAAAGCCATCCTGCTAATTTTTCATATTACTTACCATGGATTTTCACATACCCCCACCCCCAAAATCTAAAAAAGCATAGAAATTAAAAATTATAGAGATACAGCCACTTAGTTTTAGTTCTCCAACATTTTTGGCAATACTGTGGAAAAAGAGCCAAAAACTATTGCGTTCAGCAGAAGTGGCAGCAAATCCATCTGAAAGATAAAGCATGTCCTAATTTACTGGGATGAAAGTACTATGAAAACTCATCCTGCCAGATCTGCAGTTAAGACAATTAAAGAAACAAGATTAAAAACCTTTACAGTATTCTTCTGGAATCCCATTAATTTCGTTGGCATTACTATAGCACTAAGAACTGAGATTTTATTACCTAGCAAATGGGGCTGCTAGCGCCGGTGAGAGGCTCACAGCTCAGCTAGTGCTGGCACAAGACTCATGGCAGGGCTAGCGCCAGCGCGAGGACCAGCCACTCACACAGCCCAGTGGCCAAGAGACATGGCCCGGTAGTGGGCCACGGCCCATAGGCCGGGGACCTCTGTATTAGAATCCAGTAACTCCCAGAGAGCTCCATACTGGATGATCATTTCTAACGACAATTAAACCAGGAACAAACTATCTCAAGTTAATGGATAATGACACAAAAGCATATACTTGGAAATAAAAGACATGCAGCACTAAAGTATGCAAATTGAGCAGCCATTTAAGTTTGAAAAAGAGATAAAACAGACACCAAGATGAGTAACTCCATCATTTAATGTTATTACAGTTACAACAGAATGTCTAGTACTCTCATCAATACCTTTTCTTGTGATAGGTTTCTCACTCATGAACGTGTTAATATAGATAAGTTGCTATAAAATTACTTTTTCCCATCTATCTACTTAAGTAGGACAATAAAGGAACATTTTCTGCTAGTTTTCAAACCATGATTATTGAATCAAAGTTTGATTTCTACAAATAAGGCAGTTACAACCAAATGTTTGTTTGTGCATGCAATTCATGCCATAATTACTAAAAGAGATCTGCACTGAATGGAGCCGATTCCTCCTCCTAATTCTACCTTGTATCATATGCATTTCAGTGGACAATAAATTCCTTTTTGCACAATCTAACTTCACCATCTTTCTTTCTGCTTGACGAAAAATCTGAGAAATGAGAGAAAACAGAAATACAACAAAGGAAGAAACTAACAAAAGGAGAACTAAATAGAGACAGTGGTGTTTATATTCTACAGCTCCACATAATCACACCGAATATGGTATATTAGACATGGATCAACTAAGGAACCTATGTATCTCAGAAAGATCCCAATAACTGGTTTGGAAATTAAATTAAATTAAATTAAATTGAGCAAGAGTTCTTCAAACTCTTGGCAAATGACAGAACCAGCAGTATTATTTAATATATAAACTCAATCAAGAGAAGAGGTATATGCTGGTATCTTCAGATTCGCCATATTAGTGAGAAGAAGTGCTTTCAATGCAACTGTACATGAAGGAGATGCAGTGAGTAGCATAGGAGGTAGGATATGCTCGCAGATGGCTAACATGATCAGAATGCAAAAAGTCAACAGTCTTAATAAGGACCTGATGCTGTCGCCGAGCCTGTACCATGTCCTCGATGTCCCTTGTTAAGATGACAGAATCAGCTTTGGAATACAAATACAGCTCAGGCCATTTAGAAGGTTGGTTCAACATTGCTTCATAATGGCTCTCATGTATAAAGCGAGTCACAGGATACAACACAATCCGCAATGTCACCACCAACACCGCAAATGACAGTAGAAGAAAGTACTTTATGCATACATTGTACGATGCTAAGACAACTGAGAAGGCACGAACCGCACCCTTCAAGTTCCTCCTGCCAGGTGCACTATCAAAAACAGTCCCCACTACCCTCAGATGCTGGAACTGCTGTTGAGTGTGAAGAAGTTCCACAATGTAACGATAGAGCATGAACCCACCGTTGCTGAAGACATGGAAGAGTAGAGGCTTCGTCTCCACTTTGTAATCAAAAAGGACCTCCAACAGCTTTGTAGCCAAAGTCTGCATGGATTTTATACCCAAGGATTCTGAAAAGAACACAAGTCTCCATGGAGCTGTATATCGGATCACTACACACCCCTGTGAGGAATACACATATTTTAGAATGGGTTTATAATTTCTCTTTTTTTAAAAAAAAATGACAAAGTGTGTCAATAGGACTCATATTTAGTATAATTAATATTACTCTTTTCAGTGCCAATAACTCAAGCAAGTGCTCATAGCTTATGATCGCTGTGCAGTTAACATGGTATACAACCATTCACAGATAGCACAGCAATTGAAATGTTAGACCAGGAGTGGAAAATTCAGGTTATACTTCACCCTCAAATACAAAAGTTAACTGGGTTGTCTTGAACTAGCCAAACTTTCTCATCCCCTTTTCCCTCTGGGTTATTCTGTGAAGAAAAAAAATATGAAGAATTCTGTATGTGCCGCTTTGAGCTACTGAATAAAACACAGGACATACACCTACCTACAAAGGTGGTAAAAAGATGGACTTATGACAGGTCCCCTTAGTTACGCCCATTGCAATGGCTCTGCAGCCACATGATCAAAATTTGGGCACTTACAATCACAGAGGTCCTTCAACTCTCCCCAGGTTAAATTCCATCTTAGATTTTTTTTACATAGAATTTTCATGAAGAAACTGATTTCTAGTTTGATATTTTAAAAATTCTGAATAGGTGTTTTGTGGGAAAGGTGAAGATACTACTCCTGGTATTGTTTTTTTCTTGCTGATTTCTGAATGGGCCAAGAATGGTTCTTTCATTTACAGATAGATAGCAGGTGTACATCGGCCATTAAGGAAGCTGAATTTAGGTATGAAAAATAATATTCACCTTCTGTAGATAGATGGCGCTGTATTTCTCTAGATACCTGTCCTTGCAGCCAGCCCATCCGAGCATTATCACCACCGGAGGATTGATTTTATCTCCTTTTTCCGAAAAAGTTTCTGAAAATAAAAATAAAAATAGAGTCTGCATCTTAGTAGTAACCATAGCGCTACGACTCTAAAAGGATACAGGTGCATTTCAGCATCGGTGGCCAGAAAAACCTCGTCGTTGTACAGTATAGTCCTTTTTTTTTTTTTCCTGATAAGTTCACACAAGGTTAAGCACCTGAGCGCTGGAACCCGATTCCAGACCTCGGCCAAAGAAACCGACCTCGGCTCTGATTACGACACACTTTGGACGTGCCGTTTCCACTCCAGCGGGCGCCTCACCAATTCTGTGCCAGGCCATTTTTTCCCAATTCACTCACTCACCAGCGCTTCGTTCCGGAGGAAATTCCACCACGCAGCCCAACTCCCTCGCTCGCCTCCCCATTGCTGCACCGGCGTTCGCAACTGCCGCTTCCGTTTTTTTCCTCCTCTTTCCCCCCCCCCACCTCCGCCCCCGCCGGAAATGCCCGACTTTTTGTCCACCTAAACAGGAAGGATGGCCGAGCACGCGCGACAATTCTACCGCGGGTCTCCTTAGCAACTTAGCGGCCCTAGCAACCGAGGCACCATTCGGCCCTGCAGGAAGAGAAGCCGTGGTTGGCCGCTTGGCAGTCCGCTGGCCGAAGGGCATCCTGACCGAAAGGTGCGGAGCGGAGGCTCAAAGCAGTTTATGTACGCCGGGGACGTGATGCGGGTATGTGGCGCTTATATGGGGAAAAGCGAAGCGAGATGGCGTCTGTGGAGGTTCGCAGTCACCCAGGTCATGGTTGTCCCAAAGGTGCTTTTTCAGGAGGCAATTGGACTTTCTTGTATTTCTTTGAAGACGTTTCGCTCCTCACCCGAAAAGCTTCTTCGGCTCTGACTGGATGTTGGGGAATGGAAGGATTTATATTCCTTGCAGACAGCTGGGCATTTGCACGGTGCGGGAGGATGAACGGATTTCCAGAAAACATTGCAGACTACTACAGGAACCATTTGCAGTTCAGTTTGAGATGCAGACAACACAGACTCGTCCCCGACAGCCTGCGCCGATCTTCAACAGCCAGCGAAGGGACACAGGGCAGAAAATACCCTGCAGCCAAGAAGGCTCCACACACATCTGCACTACTCAGGTGATCCTGAGGACACAGGTAAACCTCCAAATGGCTTCAAAGACTCTCTAAAAGAATGCAAATGCCTAGCTGTCCGCAAGGAGTATAAATCCCTCCATTCCCCACCATCCGGTCAGAGTTGAAGAAGCTTCTTGGATGAGAAGCGAAAGGTCTTCAAAGAAAAACAAGAAAGTCCAGTTGCCTCCTGAAAAAGCACCTTTGGGACAAGTGAGATTATACCATAATTGAAAATAGGGATTCTCCTAAGCAGAGAACGGAAAAGGAGGGAGGGCTTTCAATAGCCTGAAATCTGAGCGAGCTTTGGGGGCTCTTTAGGTAGCTCTTAAGCAAGGAAGATTTTAAACTTCAGTTACATTTTGCACTTCACAGCTGATCTCTGAGAAAGAAACAAAGGAAGAAGAGCAAAATAGAATAAACATTGCAAGTGTTTGTCCCTTGAAAACCAGGTTTTGTTTTTACACTTCTACTGTGTGCACGCGTGTGTACACACACGGTGTGTGTGTGTGTGGGTGAACACACACAAACACACACACACCAGGAGTACTGTGACTCTAACAACTACATGGTGGAATAATTCTCATCACAGACCTGAAGGCAAGAAGGGGCTCACTGTTGGAGGGCTGGGGTCAGTTTTTAGCTCAAGGTTTAGCAAAAAACCTGCCTATGAATATTGTTGTTTTTGCTTACATACAAGAAAACCTGCTAAATTATAAATAGCACCAAGACAGCTTTAGCTCAAGATGCTAAAAGGGCTGCTCTTGATTTGACATGCAGAAATTTTTTTCAGAAATTTCAGAGATGCAGAACACTCAGAAGTCAATAAATAAATAAATAAATAAAGTCGGGCAGAAGGCAGCAGTAAAGTATATATTATTTCCAGGAAAATACTTGAATGTATCTATGAAGTTCCAAGTTGTTCACTGCTGTTGTTGTTTTCTGGTAACAAGTGAAGCTTCTAGCTTTTGCTCTCAATGAGCATTCTAGCATACAAATTAGTAAAGTTAAATCTAAATTGCTCTTTTTTTGTTGGCAGTACTCAGCTATTTCTGAGGATGTATTGTGCTGTAATCCTTGCCTTCTGGGCTCAATTATCTAAAATGATTTTGCATTGTCAAACCTCAAATAAACTTGAGCAAATAGACCAGAAGCGGCCAATTAAGTTTCAAAGAATAAATTGCATTAAAGGAAATGTGTTGTTGCCAACACTGTTTAAGGCTATTGCATATTCTGAGTTTAAAAAGCTGAAACCCAGAAATGTTTGTTTCATATTATACATTATACATAATTAAAACAAATGTGTATGTTTGGAATAGCTATTTTTTCCTACAGAACATTAAAATGAGATGAATTTTATCCAGAATAACAGAATTAGAAGGGACCTTGAAGGTCTTTTAGTCCAACCCCCTGCTTAGCAGGAAACCCTATACCATTTTAGACAAGCGGCTGTCTAGCCTCTTCTAAAAAGCCTCCAATGATGGAGCACTCACAATTTCTGAATGCAAGCTGTACCACTGGTTAATTGTTCTCACTGTTAGGAAATTTCCACTTAGTTCTAGGTTGCTTCTTTCCTTGATTAGTTTCTATCCATTGCTTCTTGTCTTGCTTTCTGGCGCTTTAGATTAGAAAATAGGTTGACCCCCTCTTCTTTGTGGCAGCCCCTCAGATATTGGAACACTGCTATTATGTCATGCCTAGACCTTCTTTTCACTAGACTAGCCATACCAAATTCCTGCAACTGTTGTTCTTATGTTTTAGCCTCCAGGACACTAATCATTTTCTTGCTTATCTCTGCACTATTTCCAAAATGTCAACATCTTTTTACAATGTTGTGACCAAAACTGGATACAGTATTTCAGGTGTGGTCTTACTAAGGCTTTATAAAGTGGTACTAATATTCACATGATCTTGAGTTTACCCTTCTATTAATGCAACCTAGGTTAATTCTCTCCATGTAGATGCAGTTCCATTAAGAATTACACGTTGAGTGCAGTTGGTCAGCCAGTTACAAATCCATCTGGTGGTGGTTCTGTCTGTCCCACATTTTTCTAGCTTACCAAGAAGTAGGTTGTGGTCTACTTTATCAAATGCTTTACTGAAATCCAAGTATTCTATATCCACAGCATTTTGCTGGTCCACTAATTTAGTCACTTTGTCAAAGAATGCAATAAGATTTGTCTGGATGATGTTTTTGACAAACCCATGTTGGCTTTTCATTATAACTTTGCTTGCTTTTAGGTATTCACAGATCTGTTGCTTGATTATCTTTTCCAGGATCTTCCCAGATGTCAGACTGATAAGTCTGTCATTTTCTGGATCTGGTTCTCCTCCCCACTTTTTTTTTGAAGATGGGAACCACATCAGCTCTTTTCCATTCTCTGGTAGTTCCCTGATGCTCCAGGATATTTGAAAGAAATGGTTCAGTGGTTCTGAGATCACGTCTGCCAGCTCCTTCAGAGCTCTGGGATGTAATCTTTCATGTCCCAGTGATTTTAACTTGTCTAGAGTGGACAGGTGTTCTCTTACCATTTTCTTGCTAATTTTAACTTGCATTCCTAGTCTATCTTTTATGGTTAGGTTTTTGGTATGTTGGGCTATATTTTCTTTTTGGGTGAAGAATGCAGAAATGACTTAAGCAGCTGTACTTTCTTTCTACTGCACATTACTTCCTTGCCATCTTCTTCCATTAGTGATCTGATTGTTTCCTTGACTTTTTTTTTATATGTTGAAACAAACTTTTTTTATTATTACTTTTGACATTTGTTGCAAGTCTTACTTCATTCTGAGCCTTAGCTTTCCTGACTTCATCTTTGCAAGTTCAGGCTATTTGTTGGTATTCTACCTTAGTTATATGTCCCTCTTTCCATTTTTTGTACTTATCCTTTTTGTCTTTCAGTTTATCAGAGCTATGTTGTGCAACCAAACCACTTCTTGGATTTCTTGTTTTTCTTTTTGTTAGATTCCATTAAACCATTTAAATGCCTAGCAAAAGTGTTTATTTGGACAAAACAGAAGCCAAACATGAATAAATATACTATGGATATATCAATTAATACAATGTGCTAAACAGTTCTGAATTTTGAATATTATCGTACACAGATGAATCATTTGGCATGGTTGCCAAAAATTAATAATCAAGAGAAGATGACAAACAAAAGGATACTGATCACCAACTGAAGATGATGTTTTTGGAGCTTTTTGCCTTCAAGAGTTATATAATACCTCCAATTTTCAAGTCCAATTATGGGATTAATGGAAAGAGGATGTCTTCCTTGATTCTTTTAGCCAACTTAATACTTAAGACAAAATATATACCAGCTTTCAGCTGAATACAAAAAGCAATGTGTATGTTAATTGCCAAATGGAATAAATAGGCAGCCTCTAGGAATCAATATATTGTAGGCATTATTCAAATAACTACAAATAATAATATTTGGAGAATTATACAGAAAAGTTTGAAAAAGGGATCTAATAAATTCAGGTTATAGTCCGGAAATACTATATGTAGAAGGGTAGTTCCAAAATGCTATTTATCTAAAAATAAATAGTAAATGTGGTATGAAAAGAGAATTGTATAAGAAAATAGCCTACAGCACTGCTATCTTACTCTTTATATAATCTCCATATCTCATTTCTTGCTAGCTAAATTAGAAAATGTAATTAATGGAGGGATTTAAGAAATAGGGTAACATTTTATTAAATTTGCTAGAGCTGTTTCTGGGAAGACAGCCTAATTAAAATTAATAGAATTGCTGGTTCTATTTCCTAAGGTTCTCAAATTATGACTGTTAAGCATTAAGATGAATAATACATTTTTCAGCTAGTTGGATGTCATTAAAAGAACCAAATCTAGCAACAACAATATGCACCCTAGCACTTAGAAAGTCTAGCTGGCTGATATAGTCTCACATATGTAACAATTAATTAATTTAAAATGTTGGCTTGAAGTGGGCTTGAAGCTAAAATTGTCATACTGAATTTATGATTATTTGCTCATTTTGTTCAGAATATACTATTTCTCACCATTTGGTTACCTATTCACAATATCAGTACAGCATCAGGAGAAATCTGTCTTGTGCAAAGGGACTTTATTTACTCGTTATTTCTTTTCTATTATTATCAAATGATTCAATTGCCCCTCCAAACCGCTCCTTCATTAACTGTCTGAAGGCAGACATAAGGGACTGTGAAAGTTGCAAGATAGAAAGGAATTAAATTCCCCTTTCCAATTCCTTTAATGGAAGAAGTGGAAGTTAAACTCTAACTACATATTGTTATGTATTGTGTGATATTAATTGTATCAATAATAATAGAGTCTTAAATTGGCACTTTTTTCAGAGATACCTCAAGTCATACTGATATATTTATTTTGGTTTGGAATGGATTTCTTTATGATAGATTCTATGCATAGTCTTTTTTTTTTAATCAGCTGATTGTTTGTCCATAAATGTTGATTTGCAACCTCAGGTTTCAACAACAGAATCTTATGAACTCAACAAGATAAAGTTACTATATATTCAACTTTGCTTTGTTTTAAATTCATTTATTTGATACATTCATTATATTTCTTAAATTATTTGAATGTGATTGAAGAAAGAGAGTTGGCATGGTCCTATTAATATGTGTTATCGACTGATTTGCATTATCTGATCTTCAACTTCTAGTGTGTAAAAGAAAAACATACCCATATGTACAGTACGTTTCATGAACTGAGAAAAAGATGCTATTCAAAAGTTATACATGCAGATTGCATTCCTGCCTTGATCTCTCAGTTACTTCTAAAATCTGTACACAAATAGTGGTCCACAGTTCCCATTCTGTCTAAAGTGGGACTACAGGCAATCCTTGACTTACAACCATAAATGGAACCAGAATTTCCATTGCTAATCAAGGTGGCTATTAAGTGAATCGCACCTGATTTTACAAACTTTTTTTTTGTTTATCCTGCTTCTCCCACTGACTTTGCCTGTTGAAAGCCAACTGGTAACATCACCAATGGCAATTATGTGATCCTGGGACACTGCAACCATCTTAAATTCATGCCAGTTGTCAATCACCTGAATTATGTTTATGTGACTGTGGAGATGCCATGACTGTTTTAAGTGCAAGGACCTGTCATAAATCACTTTTTTCAGTGTTGTCACTTTGAACAGTCACTAAATGAATAGTTGAAAGTCAAGGACTCCCTGTATCCTTTCTTTCTTCATAGCTCTGTTGTTGTACTCTGTATATTTTCTATAATGGAGTTTAAACATAAATGTCTTGATAATGGATGATATTACTCATTTTCTTAAAGGGTCATTGCACATAGTTGCTTTTGGCTGGAATGGGTTATATATTAAATATGTTGAATAACTTTATTCTCTTTTTTAAACAGTGACAGAACTCTGGTTACAAGAAAAAATGGAAATCCCATTGTATGAATGTGGGCTTGTTTTAGGTATTAAAGTTCTTAGTAACGTTGAAGATATGCAGTAGATATACCACACTGAGGTATAAATTAAATATGGATGGTTCAATAAAAGTAGTATCTTTTTTCGAATGCAAATATTAGTTATAAGTAACAGCTCAGAAATTTTCTGTAAATGAAATGATTGAGATATGTACTTTATATTTTGCTCTCTTGTCAGTACTAATATTAGTTATGGCTAATAAATTTTCGGCCATAACTCTTTGAGAAAACTGATTTATTCTGAACTTTTTCCCCACACAGATATTCTGCCATAGACAAAAACTCCAACAGATCAGTTTGCTAATTTTGTAATGGATTTATGTGCTTTTGTCAGGACTGATTTGGTTTTGAAGATGTGATAAATTATTTACATAGATTTAATGTTGCCCCAATTGTAGTCTTTTTCTAACTGTTAACACCAACATTCTTATGTAAGAATCAAATGTGAGTTTTTGTACTATGTATAGAACATAAATACATGGTTCAGTGTTTTTATTAAATATGCATTTATTATCAAGCTGGAAGATGTGAAAAATATTTTTTGGTTTGAATGGGATTGAAAAAATGTTGCAAATTTATGAAAATATTAAGATATAAAATGAAAGCATGAAGAAACCAGAGTTGTGAATAACCTTTAGCAAAGGAGATTAGTAGAGAAATAATGATATTACTATCAAAATAGTTGTGTGGAGAGTTTGTTTCAGATCTATTTTAATTAACCATTCTGAACCACTTCACCAAATTTGCCAACTTCTTGAATCAGGCTATTAGCTGGTAAATCTAAACTATGCAATTGAAAGTTGGCTTGGATTCTGGTCTTGAAATAATTCTGATAAATATCAGAAAAAACAATATGGCAGTTTTTGTTCTGATTTAAAATCCTGAACCAGAGGATTCATCCAAATAATTTGTTCAATTTTTAAGACCATTTAGGAAAATATCAAAATTGAGATAATATATTGGCTACAATTAAGGTATAATTAGTATTCTTCAGTGGGCAGATTGGAAAGCTAATCTGAGAAAGTTAGCTAATTTGAATCTTAATCTGATCTTTGTTTTACTTATCAAAAAGAAAATTAGTTTTTCTACAAGCCTGCCAATATTTAAACTCACTCTCATAAGAATAATTTTCTTATTGGCAGATGTTGTTATCAGAGATGAAGGAAAATGACTTTAATGGGTTACACAGTAAAGTTATAATCTTGTTTCATGAAGCTTTTCATTTGAACTCATATGGGTAAATTGACCATACAATCTTTTATTACATTATACATAATATTGTGCTCGTTTTTTATTCCATCCATTTGTTGAATGAGCTATAGTACCCCAGTTTACACTAAACCACAGGTCGGCAACCTGCGGCTCCGGAGCCGCATGCGGCTCTTTGAGCCTTGCCCTGTGGCTCCCAACCTCCTCTGCCTTTGCAGAGAGAGAGAGACAGAGAGAGGCAATTGTGCTTCCCTGCTTCAATCTCTCTCTCTCTCTCTCTCTGTGTGTGTGTGTGTTTTGTGTGTGTGTGTGTGTGTGTGTGTGTGTGTGTGTGTGTGTGTATGTGTAAAAGAGAGTGTACTCACATGTTCTCCGAGGAGCTGAAAAGCTTACTGGGCGGAGCTCCTCCCTTTGCTGCATCTCTGCAGGAAGCAGGAAGCAGGAAGGGCAGGAGAGAGCTAGCTAGCCCAGCTAGGCTGACTCAGGAATTCTGGGAGTTGAAGTCCATGAGTCATAAAAGAGACGAGGTTGCCTACCCCTGATCTTGTTGGACAACAGCTTGAAGCTTGCCAGGTGAGCAGCAGATAGGAGAGGGGGGGGGGGAGAAAGAGAGAGAGAGAAAGAGAGAGAGGGAGGGAGAGAGGAGAGAGAGAGAGAGAAAGAAAGAGTGGGGAAAGAGGAGTGGTAGACCAAGGGCAGATAGAGAGGGAGGGAGAGAGACAGAGAGAGAGAGAGACCCTCTTGACATCTAAAATGAAGATAACATTGCATATATCCTTTTTTTAACCTGTGTGTGTGTATGTATGTGTGTGTGTGTGTGTATATACACATACATACATACATATACATATACACACACACACATACACACACACAAATACCCCACCACACACAAACACACACACCTATAATAAAGGTAAAAAAGGATATATGCAGTGTTATCTTCATTTTAGATATCAAAAGGGTTTTGCGGCTCCCAGTGTTTTGTTTTTGGTGGGAAACAGCTCTTTAAGTGTTTTGGGTTGCCTATCCCTGCACTAAACCATAAAGGGTAAGTACACAAATCAAATTTGATTATAGATTCATTACCTACATTACCTGCAATGGCATCACTTTATAAAATAACCTTTCATGATTTATTATTTGTTTGAATTGGATCTTTCTGTACTCATTTTATAAAAGTGTCTATTTAGGGTTCAATATAATTAAAGTTACAGTTCTCTCTTTGATTGATACATATTAGTTTTATTATATTTTTGTATTGATGTGTGTATAAGCACATGCTTCAGTGGCATGATTTTTGAAACACTTAAGAAAATGGCTGAGAACTATCTTAACTAAAAAGCCCTGGGAAAATAGATTCAAAGAAAGCTTTTGCTGCAGTAGAATGGGTTTGCATATTTGGAATAAATTTATCAAATATAAAAATGTGTGTGCAAGTTCTTCCAAAAATATGAAAAGGTGTAGTTATTTTGCGAAGCTGTATATAATGAAACTTAGAAAGGACCTTTCGTCTCTATCAATCATCAAACTAGATAAAATGTCTGAAGATTTTCTGAGGTTGCAAATATTAATCTAATAAAGTCTTAATCTCTCTTTTTCATTTTCTCACTAGAAAAACCATACCAGACATGACTTCTATAAAGGAGCAAGCAGCAATCAGTAGATTAATAACTTTCCTACAAGAATGGGATAGTGCTGGCAAAGTTACTCGAAAACGTATTCTTGAAAATTTCATACTTGCTAACCAAGGCAAGACTGGTCCAGAACTTGAGATAGAATTCTCTCAGGGAGCCAGTTTATTTCTGGCTCGTATAACTGCCTGGCTCCGGCTGACGTATCCCTTTCGAGAATTGATGGTTAGGTAGAGCAAGGAAATACTAGGAAACATTGTTGAAATTACCAGGATGGGCTACATATTTAACTACCCCAAAAAGCGCAGTTTTTAAATTTGTAGTCTTGGATACAGAAACAAATTCTGAAAGGGTATTCACAATTTTTATTCCTTCATGGCAAAATAAACAGCCTGTTTGATAGTTTCTTAAAGCTAGCCCATTTATTGTAACATAAATATAAGCCCAGACGCAGAATTTTTGTAAATAGCTTTAAAATGGACAAAAAGGATAGGGGAAAATAAATTCAGCTAAGGCTTATTTAGCAGAATATATTAAAATAAAAGCCTTAACTAAGTAATGATAGCTATATGTACGGAACATGCCTGGAACAACAGTTAAAATCAGTTGGCATCTTTCTTTCAGCTGCAAGCGGGTGAGTAAATGATTTTCAGGAGTCGGAGGAACCTTACAATTGTTAGCCTTCTATGTTGTTGAAAGAAGGAATGTTGTTTATATTCTCCTTGTATTATCAAAGGATGTACAGGTAGTTCTTGACTGATGGCCACAACTGAGCCCAAACTTTCTGTGGCTAAACAAGACAATTGTAAACTGAGTTTTGCCCCATTTTATGACCTTTCATGTCACAATTGTTAGTGAATCAGTGCAGTTTTTGAGTTAGTAACATAGTCAAGTGAATCAGGCTTCCTCGTTGATTTTGCTTATCAGAAGAATGCAAAAGGTAGTCATATGACTCTGGGACATTGCAACCATCATAAGTACATGCCAGTTGCCAAGCATCCAAATTTTGATCACATGACCATGGGGCTGCTGCAACGGTCATCAGTGTCATAAGTCACTTTTTTCACTACTGTTGTAACTTCAAATGGTCACCAAATGAATGGTTGTAAGTCAAGGACCATCTATATAGGACGTTTTGTTGGTTATGCTTCTGTATTTTCTTGTTTGATGAATCTCTGTTTTCTGCACATTTACTTATTTACAAGTTCTTGAAAATAAAATATGGTTACTGTTTTAAACATTCTTTGGTAGCATCAAGGATACGTTGCTTGAATAGTAGCTTATCCCAAATTGGAGAAATGTTATATAATCCTTTATAATACATTTGCAGATTTTATCACATGTGAAATCATGCAACATAGCTGCATACCAAGGATAGAAGCAATTCTAGAAATAACCCTTGAAAGCATTTTAATGAAATCTGAACCACTATCCCCTTCAGTTTGTCTGGATGGGATACAGATTGCTACATGTTAAACGAAAATTGCAAGTTCTAATTTTCTGTGATAAAAGTATTGCTAATTCGTATGTCATCACAAAAAAGAAAAAGAAAAACATTGAGGGTGATGACAGTTTACTGAGAAGGCATCAACAAACTTCTCTTTAGGAATGAGTGAAGTAATGTTAAATAGTATTCTACTTCACACACACACGCACACACACACACACACACAAACAGAATTGCCGTAAAGCCTTTTGTTCTTCAAATTTTTGCAGCCAGCGGTACCTTCTTGAATTTCTGGAAATTGGTGGTATCCTCACCTTATTGGAAATACTTGGGCTGAAACAACTGAAAGAGGAAGACAAAATGGAGTCTGTAAAACTTCTTCAGTTAGTGGCAAAATCTGGCAGGAAATTCAAAGAGCTTATCTGTGAAAGCTATGGTAGGCTTATTTCAACATCTGTTTAAGATAAGCAGTTTGGAGGTATCAGGATAATTATTTTCTTACATAATTAAAATCTTTCCTTTCTCTGAACTTCATTGAAAGAAAAGAATTGCTTCCCTTTTGTAATTCAGCAAAATGATGAATCATTTCAGTGTTCCAATTTACATTCATTTTAAAAGACTGGAAGTCTTTGGTCTTCATAAGATTATTTCCCTTCAATGGAGTATTATGGCCTTTTTTCTTTATTGCAATATGTTAGAGCAGGGGTCCCCAACCCTCGGTCCGTAGACCAGTACCGGGCCGTGGCATGCCAGCAACCGGGCTGCACAAACAAGCAAAGCCCAATCTGTGGGATGCAGGCAGCACACAAAACCACAGCCCCTCTGGTCTGCAGAAAAAACTCTCTCCATGGAATGGGTCCCTGGTGACCAAAAAGTTGGGGACCTCTGTGTTAGAGCCATGCATGAAGTAAATTGAAGCATAATTCCCTTTTGAAATTGCTGCAAATTGTTAACTTTTTGAAATTCTATTACAGCATTCCAACTACTAGAAAGTGAAAAGTTAATTCCATTGTCATATATCTCTAGATCTCTATACAATATCTATGTATCTATATCTACAGGATGTTTATATATCTTTCCTTTATCTCTATATATCATCCACTCAGTTGATTCTTTTCTCTAAAATATGGATATATAGCATGTGGAGACCAGATGCTGAATCATAAATTCCCACAGTCCCAGCCAGTACAACCAATTATGAGGATGCTGGAAGATGTAATTTAGCAACATTTGGCATCTAACCATAAGGAGTCCAGTTCTAAGGAACATTTAGTTTTTTATAAAACAAACACACAAAGAGTTTGTGCAACTGAGATGTAATCCCAACCAAGTTAGTTGGATTAACTTTGCATAAGGATTGTAGGCTTCAACTAGCACAATTTCAGAAACTGGCCTACTTAAAAAGCCAGATGTTGCAATGAGCAGTTCCTTGCTTCCAAAACAGCATATATACGAGGGCAATTCGGAAATAAACCTCTGGTTATCAATGACAGACACTCGCAGATACAGAACTTTTATTATACACATTAGAAAACTGCAATATTACATTACTTTTCAACATAATCACCATTCAAATTGAGGCACTTTTCATAACGTCTTACAAGGTTTGAAATTCCTTAGTAGTAGTTGCTCGGCTCCAAATCTGGGCTATGGGGGAGGTGATCAAAAACATCCCAACGGAACTGCTTCAAAAGTTCTTGGGTGCATCTAGCAGTGTGTGGGTGAGCATTTTCGTGAACCAACACCACACCGGAAGTCAATATGCCTGTAAGGACCCACCCCACTTTGCATCTTAAGAAGACAGAACTCTTGGAATTATTCTTCCAACAGGCATCCTTTATTAAGAGAAAATGGTTGCAGGCGTTTTAGACAGGACTTGGGGTCCAAGCTCTCCCATTCAAGGTTTTAAGGGGTTCCCCAGTAGCCCCACCCAATCACCCCCCTCTTCCAGCGACAGTCTCAGGCATTACACTCCCACCCCCTTTTCCTTACTGCGGCTGGATGGAGACTTCAAAGAACTACATGAAAGGTAATAGCCCCATTCTTATGGTTAGTCCTTTTGGTGATACACACATCCAGTTCCTTTCTTCAGAGAAAACTACATGAAAGGTAATAGCCCCATTGTTATGGTTAGTTCTTTTGGCGATACATCCATTTTCTTTGAAGTGTACCAAGGGAAGTGAGGGCCATAAAGCCCCTTTGTTCACCCCCTTCCCTTCATCGTATGACAAAATCTATAGAAGGCAGAAATGGGGTTTTTTATAATTGATAACTAGAGATGAAATATAATTGGATTCTGACAATGCCCCGATGCTTGTTATGGATAGTGGTAATGTTTCACAGTAGACTCCTGAATTGATGGTTGAACCACGCTCCATGAACTTCACTAGCAGTACTCCTTTGGCATCTTCACATTTGGCAGGATTTTCTATGGTGCCACTTCCGGTGTGATGTTGGTTCATGTTTTTATTGGTTAATTGATACTGCTGATGAGTTCAAAGGAACTCATTATTGGCAGATTTTTCTTAACCTATTTGTTCAGAAAGCTTTTTCCTACACAGGTGTGCGATCAATTGCTGAATTTTTGGCCACTTCCAAGTCAGAAGCGACACAAGAGCAAGTGCAGATTCTTCTGGATACTTTAGGACATGGCAACCCGAAATACCAAAATCAGGTGTACAAAGGGCTGATTGCTCTTTTAAAGTGCACTTCTCCCAAAGCCCAACAGCTGTCCCTACAAACACTCAGGATAATACAGGTCAGCAAAATAAATGAGAAGTGGGATAAAGCATGAAGTTTTGCAACCTCAGTTTTATGGATTGAATAGAATTTTATTTCCTTTAAATAAATTAATTGATAGATTTGCAAATGCAGTGACCAACAGTAATAATGTGTAACTCTCAAGACATAACACTCATAACTGAGAGTGAAATAGAAAGATTTTTATAGCTATACCGTGAGGTATAATGCACATCTTTGGACCATGACATTTCTACTATCTTAGGCATCATTTTAGAGTCAGTTTTAATTTTTGCATTGTCACAGTGTTACAGGGTTGTTGTTGTTGTTGTTGTTTTGAACTGGAGGTGTATTTTGCAATGTGAGGGTGGCAACTGACACAAAAAAGACAGGCTTTTTTGCTTTTTTACTATTTACATTGAGGCTGTTTAAAGCAGCTATTTATAACAGTTATATTCAATGTAAATGGATCTCAGGCTTGCTCCTAAATCTTGCACCCAAAAATTATGCCCTGCAAGCTCTCCTGCTTTGTCCCTGTTTTACTCATCTCTCTCCCTCATTTCTGGGTTTATCAAGAGGAAATGAGAAAAAAAGGAACCGGCTGGATTTACTGTAATACGCTCAGCACAGTTCACTTTTCTCCTGGCTCTGCTCAGCTGAACACCTACCGCTTGTCTATTAGGGGAACAACCTCTAATCAGAGTCTTCTCCCAGTTATTCCACAGAGACCAGGGCTTCACCCGCGATGATAATCCCCTCCATTCTGTCTTGAGTCTTGGGTGTTGATATCTTCTCTCTATTGCCTTCTTCCAGGGAACTCAGCCATAGATCTTTCTTCTTCCTTCTCAACCAGGAACTGGCAACTGCTTTGCAAACTCACTTAACTTCACTTTCCAGCCTTTCTCTCCAGCTGCTCTATTTTACACAGACTTTTTCCTCTCCTCCCCTTTTCTCCTTCTCTCTCCAATTTTTTTTAGTCAGACCAGCAGCATGGCCCCCAGCAATTGAGGAGATAGGGCTCTAGTCCCCAGCACTTATGCGCAGGCTCAACCAATAGGATGCTGTTTCCACATTTGCATTTTCTAGCCACAAATGTATTATGCATAAATTTTCAATAAAACAGAATTTGTTTCCCCTGCTGTCTAAAAAATCATCAAATTGGTAATTATGGAAGGGGAATCATGGAAGGGATGGAGGATAATCTAAGAAAATACAGTATACTGCAATACAAAAATGCAAGCTGTCAACTTACCTATCAACTTAGGGAAATAATGTATGTTTCCAATAAAGTGGGTCTGAAAGGCTGCTATAATAAATGTCCATCTTTAAGTCTTTGTACAACTATTTATTTATGCTGTATCACCTGAATATATCTCCCTCTCTGAAACCCAAATTGAATGGAACTGGTTTTCATATCTGAAACAAATCTTGTCTAATAATAATTAGGGCCACTGACTTGTCATAGCAATACATGCTTGATTTGTAGAACAAGCATTGTCTAATGTGATTTGCTAGTGAGAAATAATTATATTATTTGAAACAGAGATGACAATAAAATCCTTTTGCTAAATGCTATTTCAATATCTTATTTAGCAAAAAGATGATAATTAACAGAACTAATGCCAGGAAGTTGTTAGCTCCTCAACCAAGGTTTGCCTTTCACATTAGTAAAACTAATTTTAAGAAATCATGGGTTCAAATAACTACTCAAATAATAACTACTGGACGGTCTTCAGCCAGCTACTATTTTTCATCTGAAGAATGGCTTAACTTTAATAAAGATAAAATGTAACTGCCTTCTGGCAACTTGCAGCATTATGAGGATACTCCATATCTGGGAAATTTTGACTTTATTGTTCTATTTGACATATGAAATATTTTAAAACTAGGCCATTGTGCATAATTCTGCTTTAATACCTACTTAAAGACTTCTTTGCCAGAACTATTTATTTCTCAGGCATATTTCTTTAATGTGCCTAATTTTTAAAGTACTTTATATATGTTTTTAATGTATTATATATACCTGCAAAATTAACTTCAGTGAGTGGCACCCATTTGCCATTATATATTTACATATGATTTGAATATTTATTATGTATTTATTAATCAAATTTATATAACTCCTCCATTTCATGAAAAATGGCACATAGTGATGTACAATAAATGGTAAAAAGGAATACATATATAAAAACAGACCTTTAAAATAGAAAATCAACATTAAAATATAGATGATTAAAACTAAATATATATATGATAACATTACTGTTTTGTCTTTCCCTTGCGTTTTACCTTATATAATCTGGTGATTATATTACATGTTTTTAATTATATTGTTTTAACCTTTTGTATTGTTTGCATGGTTGTTTTATTTTTTGCTTTCTGGTATTGTTATGTTATGTTTTGGCATTCTTTATGCTATCCAGAGTTACAATAGATAAATAAATAAAATTAATAAATAGAATTAAAACTAAAAGCAAGTTCAGAATTGTTCAAGGGCAAATAGGTAATCTGTTGCAAAAAGAAATTCAGCTGTGTTGGTCAATGTAGTGTCTACTGGAACATGCTAAATCTAAATATTTACATATTTCTGACATGTATTCTCCAATTTAACTGGGCACATGCAGTCCCTCCAAAGTATACGGGCGGTTCAAAAATGCAAAAAATAATTAAATAAATAAAATTAAAAATTTGAACTGAAGCATTCTGAGATGAACATATTATTTTACATAATCCAGTTCAGGAAATAATACTCCCCTATTTCTTTTTTAATTTGCCAGTCAATTGTGGGAAAAGCGCATCTGAGCATTGTTGATTCTGTGCTAAGTGTGCTTCGCTCTCTGAATTTTGAGGTACAATATGAAGGTAAAACTTTTTTTCCCCCTCTCTTCAATGGTTATATTAAGGAAAATACATTTACTGGAAACTGAAAATTAGAGTTTAAATGAAGGAGTGGGTAAAACTAACATATTTCTAAAGCAGGGGTGGTGGGAGGGGAACTGTCTTGAAAACTAAGATTGTATGTTAAAGGAATGTTACACCCAACATGAAATCTTATATAAATAACCATAACATTTTCCTTACCTGAGTCATTTCAGATATTTTGTCTATACTGCCCATCATAACTGTTAATCTTGTTGCCAAGGGAGTCAAACCATGTGTGCATAAGTTATGTTAGTTTAGTTTTACTGAATGAGTGGCAACAAAGCCAAGAGATCTCTGAGACTAATAGGAAATAAGCAAAATGTGTGTCTTCATACGAAATTAAATGTTTTTATGTTACTAATCATTGTTTTAAAATAAACTTCTTAAAGTTTTGATAACATTCTACAGGTTCATTATCAAAATTATCTAGCCATTTTACAGATCATATTATTTCCACATATCCAGTGCACTGACAGAGTAAGGCTTAGAATCTTTTATAAAACAAATATAATCCCTCTGGATCCTGTAGAAATAAGAAAATATCTTGTATCTTCAATTTATGAGAACATCCAATACTTTTTTCAGTAGAGCCATGGACCAAATTTTGCTATGACATTTCTCAGTTGATAAATTATCTAAATATTTCCAGTGCTGAGTGATTTACAATTTATGTTAATTTATGCTGAATGTATTCTTATAAAGTTTTCTCCATGATATATAGGCAATAAACATAATTTTGGTGAAACTTTGTATAGTTATTTAGCAATTATCTTTTTCCCAAAACTGACAGTTTTTCATATATCTACCAGCGCTGGAAGACTGTTCCCTTCTGTTTATTACCCTCCAACATTTTGTTGCATAATTATGATATAATTATGCAATTCTTACGGTGGTTAAAGGCTATCAGTAGAAAATCTTCCAATATAATTCCTGCATAGAAGCTGTCAGAAATTTCCCAGAGTTCTACAGCACTTGTCATTCATTATCCAGATGTTAATTTCTCAAAATTCTTTCAACCTTAGGAAAGGATTTTCTGTATCTGTTTCCTATAATTACATATACATTTTGGAGGTCATGTCTTTAGATTGAGAAGAGTAATTTAGTATCAATTTCTCAAACTTTGTTAATGGGCACTTGTAAATTAGGGCTATTTTCTTGTAACTACATACTGTAAGTATGACTTTATTTGAATCCATAAGAACCCCAATATTTTGTACCTTAATTGGAGTTCTACCTCTTGTTTATTCTACATTAACAGATTTTATAAAAACCTCTTACGTATCTTCCCTTATTTTTCCACATTTCCCATTAGTTCTAGCTTATATTGATCATAAAAGCTGAGATATGCATCCTGTATGAGTATTGTATACTCTTCCTCTAGATCTGGATAATGTAGTAGTAATAGTTTATTGATTAGTCTTGCAACCTTATCAATAAAATAATAAAATAAAATAAAATGATGATAAATCATTGACTTAGAAATTAAAAAATACTGAGGTTGGAATATAACTCTGTCTGGGATAATAACATATAAATTCATTATTTATTTTACTATAAATAGATTTCCTTGATTCTTTTATATTTTCAATTTTCACCCACTATTTTGCTTCATATTTCAAAATGAAAGGGATTGTATTAACCTAGCTGTGCAGCTTGATAGTATTATTTTAGACTTTCCCCCTTAATTCTATTTTTTAAAAAGACAGCTGTGCTGATTTCTCCAATAAAAAGAGATCAGAACACAAAACACACTGTAAGGGCCTGTATAGTTATTGACTGAGAAGTCATGGCTGAATGATCATGTCATAATGATCTTCCTATTAAGATCAATTTTAGACTGCATATAACTTTCATTTTTAATAGACACTTCTATTAAACAAAACAAAAATGATCTATAACAGTTTTAATGAATTTGTTTTAAAAAAGACTTAGTTCTCTTTAAGGGATAAGATAGAAAACCTAAAGATAAATTGCATCTTAATTGTTTTACCCAGGACATGAGTAATGGCTGATTTTGACAAGGGCTGATTATGCTATTTTGGGGAAATACCTTTGTATTGATCATTTGGTTGCTCTATTTTTTTCGCTGAAAACAGATTTGCAACTTAATGACATGACATCCAAAGTACATAATCATTCTTGGCTGATCTTGCAAGCTGGACAAAGTCCACCCTAGATAGTACTTGAATGGAAAACTATCTCTTCAGTTATGAGCTAAAATATTAAAGTTAAAAAAGAGCCACACTGGGAAAAGTAGCAATCTAAGTTTGTAAGGCTGATATGAAAATTACATGGAAGTAGTTGCCAAGAATTGAATTCAAATAGAGTGTGTCTTTAGTATTCTGTAATTCCTCCATCATTATAGGTCATTATAATATCTAATGTTCCCATGCATGTTTCATATACGTCAGCATCTCTAATGACAGAGCCATTTTAATGAAATCAGACCATAGAGCAGTGGTTCTCAACCTGTGGGTCGGGACCCCATTTGGAGTCGAACGACCATTTCACGGGGGTCGCCAAACAAGGCTGTCCGCCATTTCCCCCCCTTTTCTTTGGCCACGCCCCTGGCACCCGGTGATGTATAAGTGGTTAGGGGGTCACCACAACATGGGGAACTGTATTATGGGGTCACGGCATTAGAAAGGTTGAGAACCACTGCCATAGAGAATCAGAGCTAAATGATATAATGGGTTTTGTCCTATCCCCCAGAGTCTATGGAAAAACTGAGGATGTATTGTATAAGAGATACTATCTAATTAAAACTAGCTTGTGGCAAAATAGGAATTTTGATATCTTACTTCTTGTAGCTATTCAACTGATTAAGGACCTTATGGCTTATGATGTGCGACCAGCTCTGCTAAAAGGCTTGGTTACATTACTAAAGCCATCAAGGCAGGAGACAGCCAAGATGCAAGCAAGAATCCTGGAAGGTAATATGTTGAACAGTGTTGTTTGGATTTGTCCATAAGGAAGATGTTTCCCACTTTCATACAGGTGGTCTTCAACTTACAACAGTTCATTTAGTGACCATTCAAAGTTACAACAGCACTGAAAAAGTGACTTACAACCATGGTCACATGATCAAAATTCAGATGCTTCGCAATTGTCTCATATTTATGATGGTTGCAGTGTCCCAGAGTCATGTGATCAGCTTTTGCAACCTTCTGACAAGCAAAATCAATGGGGAAGCCAGATTCACTTAACAATTGTGGCAAGAAAGGTCGTAAAATGGGGCAAAATTAACTTACAAATTTCTCAGCAACATAAATTTGGGGCTCAATGGAGTACCTGCAATTATAACTGTATTTGCAATCATACAATTGTATTTATAAGTGCATGAGAAGAAGGGAAAATTTTGCTATCAGAGGAAGCAACATGAAATATATATTATCTAGCTAAATCCATATCATTGGTTTATCTCAGATTCTAAATTTTCAGAAACTAACCCTGGGTTCTGAGGCGGTAAATCCCATTATAAAACTTCACCATTGATTGTAGCTGCATATGTTGGGAACGGGAGGACAGGACTGTGTTTTTCAAAGGAAAACATACATCAACATAGCTGAAAAGTCAAAAAATCAAAATCCCTGCCTTTACTACTGAAATGAAAAATAGCTATCTAAGTCAAATACTGCTGCTGCTTGAAAGCTGGAGAATTTGGAAATGCTTTTCTTGGACAATCTGATTAAGAATGTTCTACCTGGCTCCAACTCAAATCAAAAACAACTTTGAGAAAGCTATGAGATACTATATTTGATTTCTATATATCATCTGTTCAGAAGCAGGCTCTTTGCGCCTAATGGAATCCTTGCCAGCATATGTACAGCAAGCTGCAGCAGCCAAAACCATTGGGTAAGCAATTTTTAGTTACTGGAACTAGCTCTCTAAACATTTAAAATAAGTGCTCTGTGCAGAAAAGAGGTAGAAGGAACCACGAGGTCCAAGGGCAAACCAGAATAAGTATGAAACAGGCACCCTTCAGATACTTCTTAAAAAAAAGTTGTTTTGACAAACATTTTATATGCATTCCTGCTTGGTATAATAGAGAAGACTATTATTCCTATAATACTTTATAATTAAGACTTTTATCACAATTACAATTTATAAGCTATTGTTATGGAGGAGAGAAACAGGTAATTCTGAAGGAGGGGATAATTAAATAATTGAAATAATTAGGATGTACTTTTTTAGAAATTATACCAATCCAAATTAATAATGAAAGGTCAATAGTCATTTATAAAGATCAGAGTAATTGGAATATTATTATATATGGACAGTTTTATTGAATGTGGACAGTATTACTGAGTACTTATTATTTTGTCTGAAGCTCTGTTGGTATTCTGATCTTAATGTCCATATTAACATCTGATTTACATCACAATAAGGACAGTGATACCAACTACGTATTATTATAGTATTATTGTACAGAGACAGTATTACTGAGTATTTAGTTTGGAGCTTTATTGGTATCCTAAAGAAGGCATATTTAATTATTTAGATCAGTGGTAGTGAACCTATGGCACGGGTGCCAGAGGCGGCACTCGGAGCCCTCCCTGTGGGCACACAGTCTCTCCAACCCCGCCTCCTCTCTCGGCCCCCTCCTCACCAGCAGCCCCCCTGGAGGAGAGTCGCCCCTGGGCACAGCCCACGCGAAGCAACATAGCCAAGGACATGGTAGCCGGGCAGCGGGGACAAGATTCTGCCCTTGCACCCCGTCACGCGCAGATGATGCTGCAGGGCATGGGCAGAGGGCGTGGCCACCATGGCGCTGCTGGGCTGCCTGGGTGATCTGTGGGTGGGCAGTAGAGGTGGTGGGTGGCCCAGTGGGCAGGGCAGAGCGGGGACGGGGATGGGGGGTGGTTTGGGGGTACTCGGTTTCTAAAAAGTTCGCCATCACTGGTTTAGATTATCATCTTTGAAATGCAAAGTGGTTATTTAAATAAGTGATTTAGGTGTTATTAAATTATTTAAATTATGCAATGTAATACCTGTTTTATAGTAGAGTACACAATGTATGTCGGCTCAAGGGCCATATCACTCTTTACCCAGTATCCTGAATGCTGCATTCCCAAGTGGGGGGAGCAGTTTTTCTTTTTCTTTTAAAAATAATTGTATTATTTTTACAGATAAAGTGGTATAGCAAAATCAGGCCCAATTGGAGCTTTTTACTTCATCAGAAAAGGATGCAATGGCATTTAAACTATGCTGTTGTTGCTGTTGTTATTCCATCATCTTTTTTTCCCCAACTGGTTACAGTATTGTTATTTTTGTTGCTGCTGTTGTTACGGGGAAAAAAGCAAATGGAATAGTACCAAAGAAAATCTGATTATTTATTTAGGGTTCTTTGAGATTTGTGCGGATTTAAAGGGCAACATAGATTTTGTAAAAACCACAAGCAGCCCTTTGCTCTTTAATCACCCATCCAAAAAGAAAGAGAAAAACATTTCAGTCTCACTTGTTTTGAGGACAGCAAAAATGAGTGCTGGGGTAGGCCACGTGTAGCCTGCGGTACTCAAACTATTACTTCATAAAAATTACTTCAGTGTTGAACTGAAACACTAGCCATGCATTCAGACCTTACCAAGCCAGTCTATGTTAGTATTTTGGTTCTAAACTATTCAATGTTCCCCTTGCAGAATTCTGGCCCAGGAGTCTAGGGAAGTGGCTGAGGAGCTGATCTTCTTGAATGTGGTACATGGCCTTATGTGTGCTATGGGCAACAAAGACCACACCAACGGTCAGAGACAAGCTAGCATCACATTAGAGGCAAGTACCATTTGGAACTAGGGGACAACTAGGGGTAGTTTATTCCTGTCATTTCTGGAACTGAAATTAAGAGTTTGCATATACAGTTGGGATTATGGTAGTTGAACTCAACAGAAACAGGATCAGACTGTGGCCGAAGTACAGGGAGGGAACATGTTGTAGAAAAGGGATTGCTTCCATATTTAAGTAAAGCTGGCAGAATGATATTCCTATAGAGCAGTGGTTCTCAACCTTTTTAATGCCGCAACCCCCAACCGGTCATAAGTCAAAGACTACTCAACCGGTTCTAAGTCGAGGACTACTCAACTGGTGCAGCACCGTTTGCAGAATGGGACTTTTGACGGGCTCAGCAGAGCAGAGACAGCCTGGACAATTCCTATTGGCTTTTGAAAGCCAATAGAATTAGACTCTATTCAAGAGAGACTATTCTATTGGCTTTCAAAAGCCAATAGAATAAAAGGGAGTAGCACAGCTAAGGAAAAGGGGGAAAAAATGGCAGACTGCGTTTTTTGGCGACCCCCGTGAAATGGTCGTTCAACCCCAAATGGGATCTCGACCCACAGGTTGAGAACCACTGCTATAGAGTTTTTTATTTCAAAACTGCTACTGATAGTGAGTATAGCTTCCCTCATCTCCCTCTCCGCTCTAGCACAAACACAGGAAGAAAAAAACAAAATACCAACTAAACCTGCCTAAGAATTCCTACATAGTATTTTGTTTTAATTGAGCAAATAATTTGAAAGGGACACGTCACACAGTGATTTAGTACAAGTGAAGCATCTTAGGAGAGAAACATCTGCCACTACCTAGGATTGAACTCTCAACCCACTCAGAAAGTTGAGAGTTCAATCCTAGATAGTGGCAGATTTTTTTGTTGCTAGGGCACCACAAAAAAAAAAAAAAAAAAAAAAGCTGCTGCAAACACTGCATGGTATCAGGAAGGACATCCAGCCAGTAAATGCTCAGCTCCATCCAGTGACCCCAACTCTTCCCCAAAGTAAGGAATTACACAGTGTTTCTCAACCTTGGCCACTTGAAGAGGTATGGACTTGAACTCCCAGAATTCCCCAGCCAGCTGTGCTGGCTGGGGAATTCTGGGAGTTGAAGTCCATACCTCTTCAAGTGGCCAAGGTTGAGAAACACTGGATTACAGGGTCATAAAAAGAGGGGTTTTTAAAAGCATTCTTCCCTTGGAGTAGTTGCTAGTGTTTCAAATGCTGCCACTGCCTGCCTATACAAGCACACTTAGCAGTAGACCCAGCAAAAAGGATTGCCAGAGGATACACATAGTGATGCAGAAAACCAGTTAACTTTCCAGATGACGCAACTATTTTATCACTTCAGGCTGGGGGTGGCTTTGGAAAACAATTTGTAAATGTTTCAAAATGTTTGCAAAATTGTGATACTTTTTCTTATAGCTGGACTGATGTTTCCTTGTAGTATTTTGTACAGATATTTATAGAGATTGAGAACTACGTGCGGAGAGCCATGGGAGAAAATTTGTTTGAGCTATTCATGGTATGTATATATTGTCCTGTATATATTGTGCTTGCCTGACAGCTTGTCAATTTTAAGCACCAAGTTTTATATTTTAAGGGCAGGATTAAGGATTGAAATCAAAATGTATTTTGAAAACATATTTCAATAGCGGTTGAGTACTCTATCTCACTGAGGGAGAACAGACTAAATAAATACCACAAAAAAGTCAGAATATCAGCATTTAATAAAATCCAGGTATTATATATAACTTTAAATCAATTACACCAATTTTTCTGAAAATGTTTTTGTTGTTTATATTGGCATAGTGAAAATAGCTTAATATTCATTTGTAAAACTAATTGTACCATTAACAAATATAGCAATATTTAAAGTGTACAATGTAGAGGTATACATTTAGAGAAATTTAACTGACAGTATTAAAAAGGACATATCGTTAAAACAAAAAAAAAAATTTTCCCTAACTTTCTATTCCCATCTTTCCAAATGAGACTAAATGTAAACATTATTCTCCTCTCCCTGCTAAGTATTTTTAGATAGCCCCTAAATCTGTTCAATTTCGATTTTGTTTTGCATGATTGCCCCACAGTAGTGGTTCCTAGATTTAAATAAAGATAAGAACCTGGCAAGGCATAAACCAGTGGATAAACACAACACAGGGATAGTTCAGTCTTAAAGCTAGGAAAAGAATGGCCAAAAGTCTGTTGACCAAAATTGCGTGGAAGAAGCTTAAAACACTGGGACAGAGAGACAGGCAGAAATATAATGGTTTCTGTTGTTTGCCTTAGGCAGATCTCCTGACTATATGACTTTATTGTCCATTTGTTTGTAATGTCATTATTTTCTGACATGTCCCGGCTCCAATATTCTTTCGTCAGTTTTGCAATTCTGACTTGCTCATGAATGAATTTTCTCTTGTTCACAGAATTCTTGCCATGCAGCTTCATTAACCATATTAGCAGAGGCTGTTTTGCAATTGTGGTACACACTGCATTATAATTGAATTTGTTTACCTGGTATATTTTCCCTTTCAAACGTCTTTAGAATCTTCTCCATTTCAAAATAATTCAATAATGGAGATCAAATTAGACCCATAATGGCCTGATCTTTATTCGTATTAATAGCACTTTCAAAGGGAACTGACTGCTTAAAAGGAAAAAGGGCACATCTGTAAACCTATAGACCATAATGCCTTTGCATAATTGTGCCGTATTAAGTAAGCCTTGTCATTTTATAATAATTTCCAAACAAAACTCCCTATAGAAATGTTCAGAACCCAGAGACAAGACCTTCTGGATTATTACCAATTATGCATGAATAGAACACCCAGATTGAGATCAAAGGGCAAATTAATTATTTAGAGAAGATTACTGAAATCTGCCATTGCCAAGACCAAGTGTAGAAATCTTTTGCCCCTCAGATTTAAGGAAATTGTAATTCCCAGCAACCATAAAGATAAATTTAATTGGACTTAAAACAAAGGCTACTAATGATTGCAGAATTGGCTAAGCAATTTACATTACTTCATTCCTCAGTATTCTTCTAATGTGTGGAATATAATTGAAAGGTGACAAGTGACTGAGTGGGCACATGATTTTTTCCTACTTCATTAGTCACAGTTGGCATATCCAATGTGATCAAAAGACTGAGGCCATCAAAACCCCAATTTAAGGACCCGGACATTAATCTGATTAACATATGCATGTTCATGTCTAATTAAACTGCAGCATAATAATTACAGTAAGACCTATGTTAACTTTCCATTGAAAATGTTTCATATGCTTGCCCATGCATCAAAGTGAAATCAATTGATGCACTTGTATGAACTTGCCCTTTGTTTTCAGCAATTTGTGCTATAAACAATCATCATGGGATACGAATTAGGAAGATGTGTAAAGAGAATTTCGTTTGAATGGTTTTGAGACAGGCAAACACAAGAGTCATTTGTGATCTCCATGTTCTCAAATTAAAATTATGAACATTTTTCTTTCTGCAGCAAGATGCTGCAAATTTGTACTTGAATATGGATGCTGTACAGGCTGATATACTGGCTACCAATATAGTCAATATTCCAGCAGATTGTTTGGCTAAAGGAAAAACGCTTTTAACAGGTATGCTTTTTGCAGTCATGGGCAAAATCTGCAATAAGAAACATATATACAAAATTGTATATACAATTTACAGAATTGTAAATTCTCCTTTGGTGCAGAATCAGAAAAACATTTAACACATACAGCTAAATTCAGAAACTGTTTAAATTAGTCAAGCAATAAAAACATAAAACCCAGTATTTTTATATATGCTTTTGTGTTTGTATATATAAAACCTATGGAAGGAAATACCAGCTGACAACTTAAAATAGTTGTCGTATCACTGTGTTGTAACTTTATTGCAAAATAAACTGGTCCATAGTCATTTGATTAATTTTTGCAGCACAAATCTCTGTGATTTGAGCTGAAAGGTGTTTATGTGTGTACATAGGTATGCAGATACATACGTGCTTAAAATTAGTCCAGTGCTTCAGTAATAGATTTGTTTTTCTTGGATTGAAATTGCTTTTCTCACCAACCTAGAGACAGAATTGAGCCCTGAAGAGGAATGGCAGTCTGAAGACAGTGAAGTACTTTCTGAGCCACTTACTTAATTTCTTTCAAGTATTAGCTTTATTGTTGATTTTAATCTTTTCTCCATTTTTCTGGAACCCTTTGCACAAAGTACCTTTTTCAAAAATTTTTCATGCATCCCTCTGAAGAAAGGATGGAGAACTATGTAACTGCAGTGCAAACTATGTGGCATTTGAGAGATTGGGACAAGTGATTCCTATTTTCACTGACTAGATAATTACTTGACTAGTTTTCTCATCTGTTGAAGTACAGATCGTACTAAACTATAGTTCCCATAATCTCGCAACAGTGGTTCAATACCACTGGAAGGCTCAGGAAAATGTAAGGAACAAAAATGGCTCTTACCATTGGATAATTTTTGGTCAATTTCATAGTCCAACCCTGATTCGTATCATTCTGAATTATATATTAATGTGAAACAGTTCTTTGTACAACTAACCTAGACTCTAAAAGAGGAAAAGGAAAATGTGTTAAATAAAATTGCATTAAATTGTTGCATTTAATCTATACTTCAAAGTTATACTTACCTTTAAACTAATTTATTTGCTTACTTACATAAATACATACTTTCTGCTACATTCTTTTATAGCCTGTATGACCAAGAACATAATATTTCCAATTATACATACATGTGTTTGCTAAAAAACCAACCTTAAAGCACAGCAGGTAGAGTTATCTGTTGATTAAATGTTTTGAATTACAATTTTCATTATTCCAGCTAAAATGTTACAATGCAACAATTGGAATAGAGCTGTCTACACTGAAAGTAGTTTTTCCTCAAATAAATTCGTAAAGATCATTTATTTGGTGTGAAAATAATTGAAAACATGACTCATCTTTTCTAATAGCATTCATTATTAAATATATAATTATTTATTTATTATTCAGTAGCAAACAAGGTTTTTAGAAAATAAAAATGTTGTTTAATAAAGTTTTTTATCTTAAGACCTTTGATTTTAGGTGTAACCACACATACTCAGGGCTATCTATTTCCAGAAATGTATATTTAGAGCAAAGGTTGATATTCATGCTAAGTGATCTATCCCTTACAATGTTCAGAGCATGTATCTTAACTTTATCTCAGTTGTTTCCAATCCCCAAGACTGTAAAATTGCATTTTTATTATCTTGTAAATCTTTCAGTTCTGAACTTAATTATGGCTGTTGACTGCTTTTTATTTTTTTTTTAGTCAATAACCCTATCTTTATGTGTGCTTATGGCAATCATTATTGGACAATAACTATCTGAAAGTAACAGCAAAATTTGCTTATTTAAAAAGAAATGTGCCGTTCAGTAGCACAACTCCTACCATGAATACTCATCCAATTGGATTCTTCACTCACAGTGAAAAGGTCAGAACAAACTAGAGACCTACAGAAAATGCCATAGTGTTTTTGCAAGGCAAGAAGTTAATGAATTCAGAAACATTTATTTAAACAGCTTCACTCGCTTTTTCCATCTTAAGAACAACAAAACCAGTTTAAGATTCACTGGTTTGCGCTCAGTGGTAACAGATAAAAATATGTAGTCAAAAATTCTATATACACAAGAAATATGCTTAACATGAACACTAACGAGCCTCCCTTATGCAGCTTTCAGTACTGTAAAAGAGAGAAAAAAAAAGTCCTAGAAATTTCTGGCTGAGAGTTGTCCCTTTCCTGCATCAGGTTTAAAAGACCCACTCCAAAGCAGATAGGCTGGATTATCTGTTTGCTTTTAAAATGCATTAATTGCCAACCAAATAAGTGACAGACAAATAGTGAGGGGCAAAGGTTCATTTAACAGATGGGCAGTTATTGAAGGCGGCGTTGATTCAGGTGCTTGCTGGCTTGTTCTTCCATTTGCATGGCTAGCGTTAGTTCATCTAGAGTCTCTGCGGAAAGTGAAAAAGAAGAAAAAAGGCAAGTTCAAAGTGAGTGAAGTCCAGATTGTAAGAGAATTCAGAAAACGTTTTTTTTCCTTTCTATATTGAAAGGAAATAACCCCGCATGAGGCCCATATGAAGTTTCATTAAATAGAAACATTAACTGGACTAGGATAAATGGAAATGAGAATGTTGGCTTTCCCTATACATCTGAAATAGAGAGCACCTCTGTGCTAGAATGACTCTCACAGGTGCTGCAGCATGAGGTTTGTTTCGTTAATTTACATCCTAGCACTGTAACTATAAGTAGATGGCAAAAGGAGAAGGGGACATCAGTGGATGACATAGCGTCATTGACTCAGTCGGCATGGGTTTGGGTGGACTCTGGGAGACAATGGGGGGGGGGCCTGGCATGTTGTGGTCCATGGGATCCCAAATAATCGGTCATGACTTAGTGTCTAAACCAGTGGTTCTCAACCTGTGGGTCGGGACCCCATTTGGGGTCGAACGACCATTTCACGGGGGTCGCCAAACCACTCTGTCTGCCATTTTTTTCCCTTTTCCCTAGCTGTCCTACTCCCTCTTATTGGTGGCCACACCCACTTGGGGGTCACCACAACATGGGGAACTGTATTATGGGGTCACGGCATTAGAAAGGTTGAGAATCACTGGTCTAAACAACAACAAATTATTCTATAGAGTTTAGAATGCAATTTGCAAAATGCAATAATAAAGCTTAATTAATAATCCAAGATGAATACAAATGCAGCCTTTGTACCTTTCAGATTGAGAAAGCTTTTGGATCCTTCATTTATGAAGCATTGGGTTTGGTACACAAAGGCCTCTAGGTCATATTTTGGTTGTTCCGCAATGTCCAGGAGATAGTTACAGTCATTCATTTTCTGAATACAGAATATATAAGAAAATTGGGATGGGTTTGTGAGATAAAACAAATTTACTGAATTGACAAAAATCAATGAAAATATCTGCCAAATTAGCAAGAATATGTGAAGTTTTTTTTGTTAATAAGCATCATTCCACAGACATAAGCATAATTTTATTATCTAGAGCATAATACCTCAAAAATATTAGTCACTTTAGAAAACAGTGTCCTGTTAAGTTCTGAATATTCAAATATACCTCCCTGATTTCCTTAAGTTCTTCTATTGCTTTCTCTTCAAATTCGCTAATCCGGGTGAGAGCGTCACGAAAACTGGACAGATGAGGAGACAGCTCATCTTCAGAAAGCTGCTATTCAAAAGGAAAAATATTAGCACAATTGCACCTGTTTTGCTAAATAAATTGGTCTTAAGCTAGGCATATACATACTTCAAGAATATGGTCTGATTCTTCTCTGCTAATCTCAAACTCTTCACTCTCAGTTTCCATACAGTTTTGTGCCTCACCAGCTGTTCCATTGCTGGGAAGTTCCTTCACTCTGGAAACAGAGCAGAGGGATTTCAACATAAGTCCAACTGTTGAAATAAAGAACTCAAGACAGCCTGATACATAACACAGATAAAGAAGCACAGGAATAGTACTTCAACTTTTGTTTCATATGAACAAACATCCTGCACACATTTCTTCAAGAAGGGCAACACGGATTGAGCAGAATGGAAAATTTCTATCTGATGCAGGGAGTAACTGGATTAGGCTTTCCTTCCCTTGTAAATTTGACTACAAACGGTCCTGATAATCAGTTTTTTTCTTCTTCTGTTGATATAGTAAATACTTCCTGAGATTAAGTTGTTACTGAGACATGTCTAAATTGAAGAGTTGTTGTTTTTTTTGACATTTTGATAGACTGCTTTTTGAGCAAGGAAAAAAAATAACCAATTTCTTTGTATCAGAAATTCTGGGCAAAATTTGCCATTTCTAATGAAGTTCTCCTACCTGAACCACTTTAGAAATGGCAATCTTAAAAAAAAAGATTTTCCCATTTTGTCCCCAAGATATGGTAAGATTTGCAAGTTCAGATATCACTCACCTATCAGCATATCGCAAAGTATTTAGAGTATATTCGCAGGAACTCATACCTGGGGAAATCATTGCAATCTAAAAGGAAACAAATTTTTTACCAGCTTGCGTTCAGCTCTCACCTTCTGCTAATCTACCTGCTTGAACTGACACCTCTGCTATCTTGTCCTTATTTATAAGGAAGCATTTTTTTTTCAGAATAGTTACTCAGAATTTAGGGTCCCACAAACTTATAACTTTTCCAATCAAATATGCCCAGACCAACATCATTTAAAAATCTTTTTCCAAAATTGTAGATTGGTACATAGATTGATGAAACAACACAATAGTTCTTGTGTTAAGATCATAAGACCTCCTACCCAAGTTTTTTTTTTAAATTTTTTATCTCGCCTTTATTATTTTCAAAAGTAACTCAAACTGGCGAAGCGAACATACCTAGTACTCATTCTTCCTCCATATTCCCCACAAAAATAACCTGTGGGATGAATTGGACTGAAAGACTTACCATGCAGGTTCTGGAATTTGTTCCAATGAAAGAATCCCTCAGCACCTGAGTAAGTTTACTTTCCCGAAAAGGTGTATGTTGTTTATTTTGACCTAAAGCACGGATACATTCCTAAAAGGTGGGAAAAGGAGCAAGGATAATAATTTGCCCATGTGTTCAGAGCCATAAACAATCAGTAGCAAAGAAAGATTGTAGGCCTCACATTATCTAGGCAACAGGGCAATAGGACTTTTGCTCTTTATTGAGGCCAATCATACACTAAAAATGCTATTATGTTCCAGTCTGTACCTTCAGTGCCAGCAAGCTTTTGTTTATTTCTGCTGCTTCCATCCGTGTCTGACGATCAGCACTAGATGTATCAGCACCTCTCTCATTGCCAGCTAAATCCACCAAGGAGAACTTGCCATGAAGCTTTCCTTTTCTGCGCAGAATAATTTGAAAGCAAGCATGCGATCGAGAGGAACTGGAATTGGCAAATGTATGTCCAGATGTCCTATAATGATAATAGAATTACCAATTACATGATACATCAGTAGAAGACAGTATGTTTTGGTTAGTCTTTTACCAATCAAAAATTTATTGTCACCATCACTATGCTGTGGCATAGCCAACCAGATGCAGTGGCCAAAGAGCAGTCAGAGAGGCAGAGGGCAAGGGATACAGAATTTAATTGCCTTTCAATTTTCACTTTTAAAGTTGGAAGGTCCTAAATGGTCAAAGGAAGAGACGTACAGTCCTCTATTTCTGTACCTGAGAGGCATTCAGAGCATCTATGAGGCATTAAGAAAATACCCATTCTCCTTACTTTGAACTCAAAGGGACAGAAAGCCACAATGGCTTGTCTCCATCACTGTTCTAAGATAATTCACTAAAGCAGCGGTTCTCAACCTGTGGGTCGCGACCCCATTTGGAGTCAAATGACCATTTCACGGGGGTCGCCAAACAAGGCTGTCCACCATTTTTTCCCCCTTTTCTTTAGCTGTGCTACTCTCTCTTATGCTATTGGCTTTTGAAAGCCAATAGAATAGACTCTATTCAAGAGACTATTCTATTGGCGTTCGAAAGCCAATAGAATCTATTGGCTTTCGAAAGCCAATAGAATAGACTCTCTTGAATAGAGTCTAATTCTATTGGCTTTCAAAAGCCAATAGGAATTGTCCAGGCTGTCTCTGCCCTGCTGAGACTGCCAAAAGCCCCAGTCTGCAAACGGTGCTGCAAGGAAAGCTTCCCTCCCTGCTAAGCAACTACTAAAAGTAAGTAAAAGAGGGCCAGGGGTGGGAGGTGGGAGGCCGGCAAGTGCACGGAGGGTTTCTGGTGCGCGTAGGGCCCGGCGGGTGCCTTATCTGCCTGGGCTGGGCCAGCTGGTGGCCCAGCCGATGGTCGCCCTGCGCTGTCACTTGCCGTGGCCGCCCAGGAGTGCCTGGGCCTGCCTGCCGCCGCCCCAAACGGGCAGCAGCCAAGGTAAGGCTAGCGGGGCAGCGGCAGGCGCAGGGAGGGTTTCTGGCATGCACGGGGCCCGGCGGGTGCCTTACCTGCTTGGGCTGGGCCAGCTGGTGGCCCAGCCGGTGGTCACCCTGCGCCGTCGTTGCCCCTTGCCAGCTAGGCTTTGGCCAGCGCAGGGGGCGGTACCACGCATGCGCGGCGCTCTCAGGCAGGGAAAGTCCTCGACTTACGACTGGTTGGGTAGTCCTTGACATACGACCGGTTGGGGGTCGCGGCATTAAAAAAGGTTGAGAACCACTGCACTAAAGTATAGCTTCTTTCTCACCGATAAAAAATATGCACTGTGTCCTGCATACTTCATCTTTCTTCCCATAACTTGGGCCCAACACATTTCAATTAGTGTTCCTATTTCCAAATTTAAGTATTAAAATGTTAGCATATCATGAAGGTCACTAATCTTTGTAAAGACTACAAAAGACACTTTGCTATTCAAAGTGACACTTTTGTAACTTAAATGATAAAATGCCTTCTCTAATTCTTTTCATCTTTCAGAATTATTTTTTCTAATAACCAAAATATTATTGGATTTTTAAAAATGTATAAAAACAACTGTTTTGTATAGAATTTGATGCAGATTGTTTCCTTGGAACAAAGTTTCTTTTCATTCTGTAATCAAATGTCTATGCTATAGTATATCTTAGCTCTTAGACCATAAGAGTTAAGCCAAACCCAGTCTCTACAATTACGAAGAACAATAGCTATAGCACTTAGACTTATATACCGCTGCATAATGCTTTACAGGCCTCTCTAAGAGGTTTACAGAGTCAGCATATTGTCCCCAACAATCTGGGTCCTCATTTTACCGACCTCGGAAGGATGGAAGGCTGAATCAACTTTGAGCTGGTTGAGGATCAAACTCCTGGCAATCAGCAGCATTAGCCTGCAATATTGCTTTCTTACCACTGTGCCACCACAGCTCTTACATAACACTCCCTTCTCCCCGATAGACCTGGACATGTTCAGAGAACAGTAAACATGTTAAGCTAAAAAGTGGCCAAAAAAACAACTAACCTGCAGGCACTTCCTATTTCAATCATTCGGATAACATCCTCAGCACAATTTACACGCATTTCTTGTAGGCCAACAACCTGGACCTGTTGTTTGCCATCCTCTAATACCCGCAGCTTTGCTTTTTTGTTTAAAAGATCAAATAGCTGAAATAAGAAAAAACAAACTGATTCAAGTAAGTATTAAAATGAAGACATTGAAATGTACAAACTGAAGAGCCCAAGTCTCTTCTGAGCTTTGTGCTGAAAATGAAAAAAAAAAATTGCAATATGCAGCTTGAACCATATTGTTAAACCCAATAGCTATCTTAATTCTTTTCTTATAGTAATGGTTCCTTCCTTGCGTAATATTATCCAAATATCTAGCATGAGCATGGATCTTCATATCCAGTTATAGTTTGACAAAACTATATTCAGATGTTTGAATGGTCTCTACGTATCACTATGTTAATAACACTGTGATAAAACTGTATCTACCAATCCAAGTTTCATTGGCTAATACAGAAGGACCAAAGAGCAAGCAAGAAATGCAGCAGTGCCAAATGAGTTTGCCACTTATCCAAGCCAAGAGAAGTATCAATCCCGTCAATTCCCTAACAGCAATACATTTTATACAAAAGACTTTATATATATTTTTGCACTCATGAATAACACATAAATAATAAATATACATGGCCTCACCTTTCCATTATATATTTCAAAGAAGGTCACATATATGTCTAGGCCTTGGGCCCTATACCGTGGCTGATTCTGAAGGAGGAATACATCCTGTGCTAGTAAGAGAAAGAAAATGCCAAAACAAGACTGTATCAAGCTTACGCACTTTCAGCAATTATAAACTATAGGGGTGTTAGCAATCACACAATATTTAACTAGTAACTTTGGGAAAAGTTAGCATGGGCTTCTTACATCCTACTCTAACGTGCTTGCAGCAGAGAGCATATAAGCCATGCTTGGTCTTTGAACACTTTATCATGAGACCACACTCAAAAAAAATAGTATGGGCCAAGACAAAACTAAACTTTTTTTAGTTAAAATTTAATTGCATTCAGGTTGAGATGGTATTCCCCATATATTTAATAGCTCTCCTTCCTTCATATTAGAAATTAATATGGCAGTAACTTTCATGGGAATTTTGGGCACTGTGTCCAAGACTTAATATCGAGGGGGGTAGGCAGGCTGTCCAGTTATTGATTTAATTTTTAAAATATTCAAATTGTGATAGTACTTACACGCAAAAGCGTATATTCCTTTTGAAGCTTTCTGTACTTTCCCAGAGAAATCTCCTCCCATAGTCTAAAAAAACATATATTAGAAGACAAGATCTTAACAGTTAAACAGGAATCTGCCAGTTTGATTATTTGCAAGCAGATTAGATTTTAATTACTGCTGATACTATCCAACATAATAACTTGTTCAAAAAGTACTCTTACACCTACTTTTCTGTAAAGATATAAACGAAAGCATGAGTGTTTCAAATTTTCAAATTGCAGTCATCACTCAAAGGTTTCTTTATATCTTGAAATAGAAGCTTTGTTATACACGTAAACATACTACTACTAAAAATGCTATTAATCATACTACAGGATTACCACACAGGAATAATAGATTAGTAAATAATTCCAGATACATATTAATATGTGTAACTGGCTTTCCATTTATCAAAATCTGTTCCCCCTCCCACACCAATTACACTATGGACTGAAATTAGAGCAGACTATCACTCCTTAATTCTACTAGCTCCAGGCTAACTTTAGCAAGCTAAAATAAAATATTTTATTGTTCATCTACAGATTGCCTGGGAGAAAAAGTTTACAAATGAAGCATCCCATTTTCAGAATTTAAGGCACATATAATGAGTTTCCAATTTCATCAGGTTTGCAATTCTTATAAACTCTGTAAAAGTAACATGCTTTTAAGCCAAGAATTGTTCAGATAACCATTTAGAAGCAATTCGGACTATTTCCGTTTTATTCAAGTTATTGACTAATTCAGGGAAATGGAAATTAAAAATATAACATAAGCCAACACTCACATGAGTTTTTCCACTACCTGTTTGGCCATAAGCAAAACATGTAGCCTTCCCTCCTTCAAAAACGGTGTGCACAAGTGGCCTAGCAGTAAACCTGACCAAGCATAAGAACAAATAGAAAATATCAATGAATGGAACTATAAAAAAGCAATCTGTAAAATATTATCTGCAGCAATTACATCTGTGGTCAATAAAATACTGACACAGATCAAATTTCTAGACATTTTCAGGATCACAAGTGCACAAAGGTCAACACTGTAATTATAGTTGTTTCAGTAAAAACTCAAAGAAAGGAAATAGGACCATGAAGAGCAGAATTACCTTCGAAGAAAAGTGAGGTCCATTGCCAGGAACATCCTCCACTAAGTATGGACAATTTTCACTATCTTCCAGTGGGCAAAAAAGGAGGAATTCAAGAAACATTGGTTGCCCATGGATCCATGGGAGATTAATTTCTATCACTTCCAAAGAAGTGTCTATAACAGCTCTCTATGTCAAATCATGGTTATGGAACTATGACTTCTTGAAACACAGTAGTTGTATTTTAATGGAACGTTTCGTTCTATAATTCCGGAATGTAGAATTACTGCAAAATGCAGCTGTGCAAATATTTAAAATGTTTACAAAACGTATTAACACAGGTGAAACACCCCTCTTCAAAGCATTAAAGTAGCTGTATGCTACAAAAGTTGCAGGTACTTCAAAGGCTTAATTTAGCCTCTTTCATGTATATGAGTGTACTGGCAACATCTCTATTATGTTTACCAGCGCAAAGCTCATGTTAGCAAAGCCTACATAATAAATACGTACATATACAAGTAGTCCTAAAGCACTGAAAAAAGTGACTTATGACCATTTTTCACAGGACCATTGCAGCAACCCCAGGGTCACGTATCAAAATTTGGACGCTTGACCACTGATATGAATTTACGACCATTGGGCAGTATGCTAGAATGTTTGTCCAGACTGGCGATTCCACAGAAGGTTGTAGAGAATCACAAGATGGGATCTCCAGATCCAGATAGGCAGGTAGGTACTGGCCAATCAACCAGTCACCACGGTAGAACGCAAAAAAACAGAAGACAGCAGTGATGATAGATTATAGCAGTGCCAAAGGGCAGCAATGTAAGGAAGGAGTATGAGAAGCTGGAGCAGGTTGTGGAGAAGGGCCTGATGGAAGAACTAGAGAGAACGTGGAAAGATTAAGTGGTCCTAGTGGCAGAAGCACTCAAGGCTGTGACTCCTATGTTGGGAGAGTGTTGATCCCTGGAACAACGTCATAGCTCTTTGTCCAAAGAGTGCAACGCTAGGAACAGCTAAGTTACTGCGCAGAACTCTCAAACTCCCAGGCCTCTGGTAGAAGACCTGAGATTAAGGAAGACACATGCCATGTATAAGAATAAGAAAGGTTTTTTTTTTTTAAAGATACATGTATAACAGCAAATACAAAGAGCAAAAGTCTTATTCCACAAAGTCTCTTGGCAGCATAGCATTCTGAAAACATCATGTATGATATAGTCCTCAGTATCTATCGTTAACTTTGCAAAGTGTCTCTGTTCTGCCAGGAAAAAAAATATGCATTACCAGTAAACCATCTCATTGGTAGCTTTTTCATCAAACGAGAAGTCAAATCGAAAAGACTGGTTTTCAAGATATTTTGTCAGATCCACTTTCAGCTTTGGTTCATGCACCAGGACGCTGTTCTTGCTAACAACAGTGATTATATCACATTCTTTCTTTCCAAGTTCTGTTTACAAGGAAAAAGGTAGGAATAAAATTCCATGAATAGGACTTTGTTAATCCCACAAACATTTAAATATGCTAGGAAGACAATAGTTTGCATGATTACTGTTGCAGAAGATCAATAAATAGCCTTAGTACACAATTTTGGGGGGAAATCGTGATTGCTATGGGAAGTGTAAGAAAACAATTTAAACAATGATATTTGTTTCAGCTGAAAAGTGATAGGAATAATTAAAATTAGATGTGATAAATTATAACTCCTCTCCACTGCACCCCCAAGGAGGTTTGTTCAAGAGGTCTAGTAGTAGTGTAATGTATTCTTCCCTGGTTTCCTGTTTTTGTTCGACATTGCTTTAAAATGATATTTTAACTCCCTAACTGTACGCTAGCTTTCAACGCATAATATATGAAGACACAAAGAACCCATTATGAGGAACAATAGTGAATTGAAATATGAATATGTGAAAATGTGAAAAGTATTGAGTGTTATCTTACCTTGCTTATTTAAGGGTCGTTTTCTCACACAGACACAAATTCTATGCTCTTCTATCTTAAAAAAAGATTGCAGATTGCATTAAGGGACAAGGTCAGAAAACTTTTCTCACTAATCCATCAGGGTTGTCCAAGTGTGGGAGGGGAATATCAAAAAAGTTAATATTGCAGGCACAGCTATATCTACCACCTTTTTATGACACACATCAAAAAGAGCCAGGGTTTTGATTGTGTAGTTGTGGCCATCATCTTGACCGGTGGCACCCCAGAATCCATGCACATTTTAAGAACAAAAAGCATTAAAAAAGCTCATAAGAAAAGACACTTTGTTAAGAACTCTGCATGACCACAATATGTGAGCCTCAAGGCTGTTGTGGGGAAAAATAAGAAACAAGATATGTTCTCTGCCTTGAGTTTTATATAAAAAGGCAGGATAAAAAACAGTTTATTACTATTATTATGAATAGAGATTGAAAATAGTAGTGTCATTGTAATGAAGATTTTAACTTAAAAATAAAATTAGTTCTTTCAAAATATCATGAAATCTAAGAAAACTCCCAATGTAATTATCATAGCATCAGATGATATATGCGCAAGAATCTTTTTCAGGAATTTAAATCTGTGGAATGCCTAATATAACAATTCTGTTAGTTTCCCCTACTCCCACAAACACATAACAGAGCATCCAAAATTACAAATATTTCAGTTGCTCTCACTCATATAAGTTATCTGGACAAAGCAGATTTGCAAATATTGTAAAGAAAATTAAAAATAGTCTAATGTTAAATGCCGGAGAAACCAGGAGATTCAGGCAGTTCAAATGAGTATAAAGATTTATTACAAGCTTAAGCTCTCTACAAGAATCTGAACTACTAATGGGTCAAGGGAAATTAGCGAGAGTTATGAATAGAAAGGAATTCAAGGTGGGCTGGACTTAGATCTCTTGGGGGGGTGCGAAGGGACTGATGACATGTTTGACCCCTCCCTCAGGCTCAGCCTGATCATCTCCTACATCTAGTGAAACCTAAATTGCTATCTTTTCCTCTTTAAATTAATTATTTGTAAGTACACTTTAGGAATAATGAAGACATTTAAAATAGTTTACGTATCTTTACTTACTGGATCATTCATTGATAATGATTGGCAATTAATAGTGTTTCGATATTCTTTAACCATTCGTGCAAAATCCCAATTTGGACAACTACTGTCAAATTCCTGTAAAATAAAATAGGTGGTCTTGGATTAGTGACAACCAAGAATCCATTTTTTTCCCTCTTAACTATATGAAGTGCTAATTTGAAAATAGAGGGAATATAGAAAAGCGAATAATTAAGCAAAAATTCCAGCTAGAAGTTGTCTGTTGTATTACTTGAACTGTAATCTTCTTTATAAAAGTTTTATCAGGTAATAATTTAATCTGCTTGTAAAAATAGGAAAGCAGATGCTGTTGAAGCATAGTTCTCATTAAACAGTTTGGCTAATCACAAGCAATGCTTGGAATGACAATGCACCACCATCTGGAAGGCCAAGACTTTACAGACCTTGGCCTGAAGTAGAATTTCCCAACTTCCAGAGATATGGACTTCAGCTCCTAGAATTTCACAACCAGCACAGCCATTGCTGAGAATTCTGGAAGATGAAGACCACTCATCTGGCAGCTGTCAAGGTTGAGAAATGGCTAATCTAAAGAAGTCAGCATTCTCAGCTAGCTTATTGCAATATACATCAGGCCTAAACCTTTTTTTAGAAGTATAGCCAATACAGTGCAAAATGACCCCGCAAATGCTCCAAAAAGATATCACAAAGTACTGTAGAACGTTCTATTTCCCATGTCACACTGATTCTGATGCTGTGGGATGGTGAATTTAATTGAACTGAATTGAACTCAACTGAATTCTTCACCTGACAACACTAAATATTGCTTCCAATACAGAAGATTAATTTTCCAGAATATTTGGTATTGTACAGTCCTTATAGCTAGGGAACATCCTATCAGCTGCAACTACTTCTGTTTGTGGAACTATATTATTGGACATTACTTACTGAATGCAAAATTATTTTTTTATGGAAAATATTCATGAAACACAAAATATTTTGCATGAGACATTGACAGCATTCAGCTGTTAAATGAAACATCATATAGAACATTTAATTGAAGAATTAAGCAACATATTTTTACCTGTGCACGCCTGTTTCTTATTTCAGAAAACTGGGCTTTCTTCTCTTCCCTCTTATTTTTCATTTTTTCCATTTCCTTTACAATATTAGATTTCCTCCGAGCTAGAGAAAGCAGTGTTATTATTGACAAAAACCAAACTATATTCAAGATTGCTATTCTATCTATACATGTTCAGGATGGCCTGAATAACTGAAAAGTTCACCATTTTATTGCCCTTAGGGAAAATATCAGTAAATAATATTAACTTATAATAAAGTATATATAGGTTAAAATTTATATATTTTATACAGCATGACCAGTAGTTCCACCTACTACTACATTTAACAGACAGAATTGGCCAGCTGAGTATATTTCGAATATGTGAGGTAATATTCCAAATTGCAGAGCTGAATTTTTTTTTCATTTTTGACTGGTAGAATCAATCCAACTTAAAGCTAAGCTTTAATTAACATACTCAATTATCAATTCACCAGCTCCATAAAGAAGACAGTAACAGAAGCTCTCTGCCAGATTGAATACTATTCACTAAAGAGACAGAATTAAGGAGTAAACGTGAACAATGTTCTTCTACCTTGAATGGCAGCAGACACAATTCTGAGAGACTGTGGAGGTTCTTCTGTCACTTCATTACCATTAGGCTGTATACTACATCTATCAGAAGAATAATTATTTCTAGTTCGAGCTCGTACAACTGTTGAAGAAAGAAGCTACTGGTTAAAAGCAATAGCCAAGGCAGCATAAAAAAATAGCACAATGGCTTATAATATTTAATTCAGAAGAGAAAAATTAACTCATAAAGGGCCTCCAATTTCTCTCTCGACTCATTATCAAATTGATATCCAGAATTTAATTAGTTTATCAAAATAATTCTATTCTGCCATCTTTACAGAAAAAATATTAGCCAAATGGTACCTAAGCATTTGCTTTATGCCATTAGAATCTAGTCCAAAATACATTTTTATTTATATATTTTCCCCAGATTTTCTCAACATTCTTCTGAACCAAAATGACACCAAATGGCACTCATAGACTCAACATTTTAAAAACCTAAAATTTGAACTTTTTTCACTTAAAAAGTGATCAAACTCTTGCAAGTCAAATCCTTTCTGGAAGAAGTGCATCCTTGTTCAATATCACACAATTGTAATATATATATTTGTGTATGTATATGCATTTATGCATACACATACACACAGAGAGTTTATTTTTTGGTGTTTGTGATCCTGCATGAAATAATGAGATAGTGTCCAACACATGATCACTGAAGACTATAACATTTGGCTAGTTGGTTATATAAGTTAGCCACCAAACTGTAGAATTCAAATTAGGAACACAAATGAAATAAACCAATTGTGTAGTTGCAATAGTATTCTGCAGCCTTCCAGTGACAAACAAAATTATATCAAACTACTTGATATAAAATATCTGATCAAGACAATAGAAGTAAATGTTTAGTTTTGCAATTAGAAGGTAAACAGAGTTGGCATTAGACTAAAATGTCAATCCATTTTCAAATATTTAGGGGAGCATTCAAAAATACTGATTTATAAGATGTTTCAATATTGAGAAATGAACAATATCTTTCTCCAGTTTTCTTGCATAAATTAAGTATATGGTCAGAATATGTTATACTAATCCAAACTCACCAGGAAGAGCTGATTGGCTTCGAGCTGGTACAGAAGCAGAAGTTTCTACCTCCATATCATTTTCCAGAGGACTGTTTGGTAGTTCTGTTATGACCGACATTTTGCTGCCTTGGAACCTCAGTGCTAAGCAAAGTAAGAACAAAATATTGTTAGGAAGCATCTTAATAGTATGCAGCCAAGATAGAAATTGGTTTAGTGAAGCAAATTTAAGACTGTGAATGTGGGAAGGGAGGATATAGCTGATGTCATATGACAAGTTTCTGTGCATGTGTACAAAAATGTGGAATAATTTAATTTTCCTATAAGTCATTTTTATGGGATTTGTTGTTCTTGAGTCAAACTCTGAGCGCTGGCATTTGAAGATCCATAATCAACAGTTGTAAAGCTCAGAAGCACACATATCTTGGGGGGGGGGGTGTTTAAATTTATGTTATTCCATTACTAAAGATGCATTTAACTATTTTAAATCCTACTTTTCTACTTAAATAACAAGATAATTATGAAAGAGATTTGAAAACCATGGCTTACAATGAAATATACTATCAGAACATTTAATACATCAGTCAGAAATATGACATGGTTAATCAATTAAAGATTTCAAAAATGAGCAAAAGTCCTCAACTTTATGCCTCAACTCTTATGACAAGAACTGGGAATAGATGAAGTTTGAGACCCATAAAATATTCTTAACGGTATCATGCTTTGCAGGGGTGTGTGTGTGATATTAACCTTTGATCAAAGTCAAATCAATGGAGAATTCCTTAACACAATTTTCCTTGCTTCTTATGTTCATATCATATCACAAGAGTCACAGATTCATAAACTCTTTTGGTGAAATTATCAGTTTGACTCCAGTATTCTGATCATCATTTTATAATGCTGTTCATCTACCAACCTTTTTTGATGTGGGGGAAAAATCAATTCCTCCCTCATTCAAGGTTCAATTTTTGCACTTATGTTGCTGTTATTATATAGTGTCTCTTAATGTAGAGAAGGATGTACTGCACAGAACCTTTCAAATCTAAAGTAACATGCTATTTTGAGACACATTCAAATAAGTAATAAAACCAAGTATTTTCAACTCTCAGAATATAATTCCACACTTCACGTAATATATATTAGAAACAAAATATCACTAATGTTTAATTGGAAGATTTATTGAGTTGTTTCATCAGCAGAACAATCACTGCTAGCAGATTATAGAGGTATAAAACAGAAGGAAAATCCTACTAAGCAAGTAGAGATTTGCTCAAGGGATATGAATTTGGGCATTAAGATCATTTGCTGAAAAGATTAATCACTCTGTATTATATCTTTAGAATGTTCTAGCTCTTAAGAAAATAAAAGTAAATTATTACAGTATAATAAAAAATACAATGGTTTAAATAGTAGTGAACAATCATATTGTTATGACACATATTCAGTAGGAGTGACATTGTTGATGTCATACTAAATTGCAGTTATGAAAATCTTAAACATAAAATACTTGTCCAAATCCATACTATATGGAATTTCTCAAAAAAAAAAAACATTGAGTATGCAGAGAATTATTGTGCACAAATTTTTGAGATGTTGAAATTGTAACAAAACTCTTAATTTAAGAGGTTTATATATTTATTGTTACTGATCACGTGCCACATGACTAGCTTCAGGAAATCATTTTCAGGACAGAAGACTGCAACTATTTGTAATATTTATGGCAATTAAAATACTTTTACCTTCTCTAGGACCAGGGATTTTTGAAACTGTTCTGCGATTTTGTTTCTAAAATTAAAAAAAAAGTTCCAATTTAATAAATAACAAAAGCATGTGTGTCTGTGTCTCTCTGTCTGTATTGCTAAAAACACATAGAAAACACACCAACAATGAAAATCACTCTCTTGAAAAATTAATTTACTGGGTGATATTTTAACGTTGGTTGTGAAGAAGTTGATTGGGGGGGGAGGAAAGAGTGCATAGAATTCCTTTATCACCTACAATAGCTAAGAAACTTGATGGCTGAAGCTCATGATCTTGAACATGAGAAAAAAAGTACTTATGTCCTGAAGATAGATCAGAAACTTTTAAAACAACTGAATGTAATCTAAATGAATAAGGCAACTAATAATAAAAAATATTTGAATGGAATCTGGTGCTCTCCGTTACCATTTGGACAAATTTCTAGCCAAGAAGGAATACAAAGCCAATGTGGCCAGTTACGAGTCTGCAACATTTAGGCAGACCACAGATTGTCTTTACAAGATACATTGAATACCAATATAAATGCTTATCGATATTAAATGTTTATCTACACAATAATAACTTATTATTAACTGTTTAAAGTATTCTTATTCTTTGTCCCTAAACTATCTAATATTACACTAGATAGTTTAGAAACAATTATTTTTTAATTTAATCAACATAGACTAGTTTTATACCACCTTGGGGATAAGTATAAAAACTAGAACTAAATAAAGCATTAATGTAGAAAGTAATTAGTGGACTGTTCTGATAAAATTTCTCCTTCCACTATTCATAAATTTAACTACACTAGGTGCTTTATAATTGCAAAACATTTGCCAATTCATGTTGACAACATTTATTTACATATTTAAACTTTCCTGAACAAATCCTATTTTTTGCAGATGAGCAAAAATTTATCCAGCTGGTTTATTTTCTTTCCACACATTTGGCAAAACATAAATAGTATTCCAAATGTACTATCAGCTGGGAAAAAAATGTTTTGCTAGCTTGTGAAAATGATTTTTGTTGTTATGATTTAAGTGTATGTTTTGGGCATCCATATACTATTAAAACTGTTTGTCTGTTTGTAACCTTCAATTAGGCGAAACGATGCATCAGTTTTTGAATCAATGTGCTTCAAATGGGCTAACCTAAAGACTGCATCCAAAATCCAGGACCCCTGACTCCCATGGGATTGAAATTTGACAAAATTGTAGGTGCTTGAGCACTACCATAGTGCCGTGGTCAGCCGATCAGCATTTCTAACACCCCCTACAAGCTTGCTCCAACAAAATCAGTGGGGAAACTGACAGGAATTTAGAAGTTCCAGTCTGGCAGAGAGATAAGCGGTTGCTGCCAAGTGAGGGAAAAGGCAGAGGTGGCACCACACAAGACTGAGAGTGCACAAGAGGTACCAAAGGGCCAGGAAGGATGCAAGAGGGTGCAAGAGAGATGCTGTGCAAATAAATGAGGGTGCAAACAGAAGCAACAGGATGGGCAAGATGCACAGGAGTGTGGAAGAAGTGCCAATCAGGTGGGGATGTTGCCCAGGGGATTCAGCATGGGTTGGGGATTGTATGTGAGTGGGTGCATGAAGGGGAGGTGGCAAAGGAGACATAGCAAGCATAGGGGGATAGTGTGTGGGGTGTGCAGTGCAGGTTGGGGAAGATTTGTAGAGAACTGAGCAGGGATATAGGCATGAAAGGGAAGCACAGAAAGGTTGGAGAGGAGGTGTAAAAATTAAACGCAGGTAAGAGAAAAATCGTGGTTTCCAAAAACAGTGTCATATGAAAACCAAAACTGTGCATGTATATATAATGTAAATTCACTGCTTGAATTTATCTATTTTAAATATCATGATACTTAATCAAGAATCAAAGAAATAACTTGAGATTAATATACCTGTACAGTTACATTGTTCTGAATTAGAATTTTCTCTTTTACATCAGCAACTACAGCAGCTGTAGACAGTTCTGGATTTATTGCTATCACATCATCAAAGTCAATCTTCAAATAGGAAAAAAAACACACACACAAAACAGAATGAAAAATCTAAAATATGCTTAAGCATGAATCTCAAACATTATCAATTCAATCCAATCAATAATTTGCTTGGCACGGCAAATTAAGCAGTAAAATTATTGTTTCAGTGATTATTAAGATATTAACTGACTTGTCAACCAATATCATTTTCACAGTTCCATGAGAGGTACTATATTTCAAGATTGTGGGAAAGCCATTGACCACAAATGCTTTAAATCTTAGTACATCCCAATGATTTCTTAATACTTACTATAAGACAGTGCAAGTATTACTACTTACCGAACATTAATTGTAAGAAAGACTGACATTACAAAAAGGGTATTCACTATCCAAGACTAAAACAATAAACTTCTGCAGATGACTTCTCCTTCACAGTTTTATGCATTTACAGAAGTACAGTGAATGTCATGACCACCAAGTCTACTTGCTTGAGCTTAGAATGACATCACAATCCTATTACTACTGCTGCAATATTCTAACAGCCATTTTCTTGATCTGCAAGCCACCTAAAGCAAGCACATGAATCTTAATTTCCAGATAACAATTCAGCTTCTACTGGTATTATATCGGATTCTAAAAATTGCCACTAATAAAGCAGTAGGTTCTGATTTTAATGTGTACATTAATATGCATGTTACACGAAATTTAATTTAATCCCAGTTGTGTTTATCCTGATGATAAACCCTGTCATATTAAGTATAATAACTCCCAACTACTACATTAGAACTGTAGCCTAAATAGCCAACTTACTAATTCAACCCTTTGCTTTTAGATTTCCTGCTATATGATATAATATATAGCAGAAGATAGATGTACAAATATATGACATATAGCACAGTTAGGAGAAGCTATACAACAATAATTGGAGAATATACAGTGGGCAAGTAAGAGAACTAGTTATTTTTGTTGCCTTAATACACTAGTATGCAACAGAATCTATTTCTGGTAAGGGACCACACTAGGTGCTAGTGGTGCATCCCTTAAACAAGTAGCAAGAAAACAATATAGTAAGTGTAGCCAAGACAAATAGATTTCATTTCTTTGATATTTAAAGCAACTATAATTAATTTAATAATTACTATTTTGTCACATTAATTACAATGCACTACATATGAGGGTCAGTTTGGTCTAGTCTAGTGGTTAAAGCACTAGGGTAGAAACCAAGAGACTGAGTTTCTAGTCTAGCATGAAAATTGGCTAGGTGACTTGGAACTGACACTCTTTCTCCAAGGTTGTTGTTGTGGGGAAAATCGGCGGAAGAAGGAGTACTATGTATGTTCACCATCTTAAATTATTTATACATAAATATAAAAAAGGTGGGATAAAAATAAATAAGGCAGTGCTGGGAGATAAGCCCTTAGTGTTCTATTGCACATGTAAGGCAGCTTAGAAACAACACTGTACGGTTATAACACAATTATTACATTCATCGTCAGCAGTATATTATGTACTTATCAGAGTCAAACGATAAGCTTTTAACATATTGAAATCTTGCTAAATAAATATAATGATCATTACTCAGTTTTGCTTGAAAGTATATAGGGATATATAAAGTCTATTTCTAAGTTGGCGTTTTAGGATGCTCAATTTTTTTTCTTCTTAATTTAAATTATAAATTTGGTGGCAACTTTTGGAATAATTCTGGAGACTCTATGCATGGCTTTTAGAAGCTGTATCTCTGTTTCTTTAAGGACTTTGTCTCTTCGTGGAATATAGGTAGTCCTCGACTTACAACACTCAGTGACCGAAGTTTTGGGGCACTGAAAAAAGTGGATTTGTGACCATTTTTCAGACTTATGACCACTGCAGCATCTCCACGGTCAGTTGATTTACATTCGGATGCTTAACAACTGACTCACATTTATGATGGTTGCAATGTCCCTGGGTCATATGATCACTTTTGCAACCTTCTGACAAGCAAAGTTCATGGGGAAGCCAGATTCACTTAATAACTAATTTAACTGCAGTTGTCAGTTAACAAATGTGGCAAGAAAAGTTATAAAATGGGACAAAACTCACTTAACACACTTCTTACTTAGCAACATATATTTTGGGCTCAATTGTGGTCATAGGTTGAGGACTACCTGTACTCAAATTCATTTGACATAAAACATTTATGTATGCTTTATCTTGTAAGCAATCTCAGCAATGTACAGTTTTTATGATTCCTTAAAATACACTGCCATTTAAAACTTCCAATAAGAAAATGTCAACATTTTTAGAGAAACTGCTATTTAGCTGGTCTTCAACAAAAAGAATGAAAAAAAACCTCTTCCCATTATGAAATGAGGAAAAAATAGCTGTGAACAAAATAACCTTGAAATATATATTTAATAATTTCCAGTTAGACTCATCTTACTCATTCTACATAAGCCTGTTTTATAGTTGATTTGAGGCAGGCTCCAACTCATAATTAAGGAAAAAAAGTGTGCTAAATAGGTCATACTTTCAAATACTCACCTCTTTCCCTTTGAGACTGTTGTTTTCAGTCCATTCTACAGATACAGTCATTTTTTCCAGACTTATACTTTTGATAGTTGCACCATGGACTGAACCTAAAATGCAATGTTTATATTTTATTATATTTATTTTATTATATTATATTTATATTGTGTGTATGTATAAAAGATATTTCAGAAAAGTACTATAACAAGGACTAGAAAATAAGAGAAGGAAATTTTCATAAATATGAAATAAAAAAATAACATGAGTCTATGACAATTCGCCATGGCCAACTCGCCACAGTCAATTCACCACAGCCAACTTGTCGTGGGACAAATTGCCACAGCCTACTCTCCATGGGACAATTCACTGCGGGACAAGAGTTACATTAATATCAAAGAAATGGTGGAATAAATCCATTAAAGAAAGGATGCAAAAGGAGGATGAAATGTGAATGACTAAAATTAAAATAATTTATTTTAAATAATTAAACTGAATTGTTAAATTGTTCTGCCACAAGTTGTCCCATGGCAAGTTGACCATGGCAAATTATCCCGTGGAGAGTTGGCCAAGGTGAGTTGGCCACAGCAAGTTGGCTGTGATGCGTTGTCCCATTCCGTCCACAATGGTCTTTTTTATCCAGAAACTGAAAGTAAATGCCGGTTTCTGGCCCAAGATTCGTAAATTGTGGTCAGGATAGTGCAAATGGCCATAAATGTTGACCAGACGCCAAGCACCAAAATGCAGTCATGTGATTTCACAACCTTCCTAAATTGGCTTTCCCCTCAGAATTCCTACCCGTGAAATCATTCCTATTTTTTCCCCCTATTTTTTCCCCCTTAGCTTATTAAAGTCAATTCTCATGAAATCTAGAACATTGATCTGGCTCCTTTCAGTTTACCTCACAGTACTTTTTTTTTCTAAAAAAAAAAAAAAAAGGTACAGGAACTCACACACATCATACAATCCGCTTTGCCTATCCTACAAGGTTCAATCCAAAAAAGGTGCCAGAACTCCGTTCCGGGCATTCTATGACAAAAAAAAGCCCTGTCAGGGAGTATAAGTGAATCTCCTTGTGAAAAAGCTAGTTATTTACAAATGTTATCCACAGCACCTATATAATTATCATCTCCAGCTAAAAACAATACACACTCCGAAGATTCTGAATATTAAACAATGTTATGCAGGCTGTGCTTTTTTATGTTCTGCAAGAGTAAAAAAAATAAGTATCAATGAAATTTTCATCAGAAATTATCGCATGGTTGTTCTAAAACACAGGTGGGGAACTATGGCCCCTTTATGATTTGTGGACTTCAATTCCCAGAATTCCTGAGACAGCATGGCTGTCTCTGGAATTCTGGGAGTTGAAGTCTACAAGTCATAAAAGGCCCATAGCTCTCACCTCTTGTTCTAAGCACCAAGGAGCGAGCCACATGGAGGTACTGCTCAGCACATGTTCAACCAGCTAGCCCAGGGGTAGGCAACCTTGGCTCTTTTATGACTCAAGTGGACTTCAACTCCCAGCATTCCTGAGTCAGCTCAGGAATTTTGGGAGTTGAAGTCCACGAGTCATAAAAGAGCCAAGGTTGCCTACCCCGGCACTAGCCATCCCAGCGAGTAACATTGGGCAAAACGGGAGTTTTAAGTTGCTTCTTTGACTCAGAAGCAGCCGAGGGGACGGCAAGGCAAAGGCACAACTCTTCTGTCCTGAAGAACCCGGAGAGGGGAACAGTCTGGAATTTAGTCCAGCCACACCATCTTTCTGCATTACAGACAAGCGATTAACGCATGAGCATTAATCTCACGGAGCCTCCAGGGAACATCCAGGCACTCCAAAACAAATCGCATTTCTCCTCTCAGCACTCACCATTGCTGCGTTCGATATTAATCGATAACCCAGGCTGAAGGCACTTGTAAATGTTGGAATCCATATTATACTACCAGAGGAACCTCAGACGTCTGCAAACTAACAACCCCTCTTTCAAAAAAACCGGACACCGCACAAGAGCACTCAACCAACTGCCGCCGCTTTGAATGGGGCGCGCCGAAAAGGCTGCCGGGAAACTACGTCCATCGGGAGACCTCAACGGTTTGCAGAACTACACCTCCCAGCATGCAGTGCGAGATCCTCTCGTTGTCCATTTGTCTACTTTAAAACTACATTTCCCAGAGAGACTTGGTAGCAAAAGTTGGTAAAATCGATTCAAATCTGATACAGACGGTACAGGAAGTGGTAGTCCCCTAAGAAATTAAACCACTTATTGTTCGCGTGGTATTTGTAAATCGTGTCATCTATAATGGGATGCATTTGATGGCTGGTGGTCTCTTAAAAAATTGGGGATATTTTGTTATTTTTTCCTTTTAAAATCTTTATAGAAATATCCCGGTTTTTACCAATATTACTAATATTTTATTGGTCTTTAAACAGGAAAAGAATAAATGAAGTCAAAATTAGTATCATTTTCGGGGAAAGAAAATGCTGGCACATTTATTAAAATACATATAACTCCTTTCCAGGCATACATAACTCTGACATGTTAGAATTTATGAAAAAGTTTTTCAGTTTTCTTGAAATATATATATAAAAAATCTTAGTTGCATTGTTATTTTAATTAAGTGGATTTCAAACATACTCCATCATTAGATGTTGGTATAAAAGAATGTCATCAGAAAATTGATTGCCAAGCTCACAAGTCCCTGTGCTGTCCTGTTGTGACTCTTCAAAACCTTTTTCTGACATTTGAATCTACCTACTATTACAGACAAGCTGATTCATTTTCTCCTCTGGCTTTACTGCTGTTCGGCTCATCGCCATGGAGACCCAGAGAGAAGGAAACAGTACTTACAACTAACTAAGGCTTGTTGAACATCATAACCAATGCACTCACTGGCTGCTGAAAAGTATTATTTGCTTTAACAAACAGAATAAAATTTGGGCTATAATTTTGAGGACCCTGAATACATTGGGGATGGTTTAATTGGTTCCACCAGAAGAAAGAACTAGATAGGCTAGAGCAGGGGTGTCAAACTCAATTTCATTGAGGGCCGCATCAGCATTGCGGTTGCCCTCAGGGGGCCAGGTGGGTGTGGCCAGGGTGTGTGCGGCCTACTGGGTGGGCGTGGATAGAGTAGGTGTGGCCTACTGGGTGGGCATGGCCAGCTCTACATCATTTGCGTCAAGGGTGCATGTTGGGGCCTGGGCAGGAGTGGGACAGATCTGAGGGTCTCTGGAAGAAGGGGGTGGGACCGGGGCAAGCGCCAAGGCATGATCCATTTCTTCATTCCTCACAAAGGATGACACCTCCCCAGCATGCACCAAGAGGGTGGGGCCAACACAGCAGGGGCTGGTTCCTCACTGTTTCTAGACGGCCTTGTGGAGCTAAGACTGAATGCATTTCAGCATAGATGGTCACCACAAAATTGTACATTGGGTCCCGGCCGGCCTGGGCCAGGGCCAAGACAACAGGAGCCGTTCCCTCACTGTTTCTAGGATGGCTTCGCGGGCCACATGAAACTACTTCGCGGGCTGCATTCGGCCCCTGGGCCTTGTGTTTTACATGTTTGGGCTAGAGTTATGTCTAGAAAGGAGTAAAGCTTTTTATTAGCTTTTCTACAAACGCCTCAAAACGTTTCATAGCTCTATGGTTGCCATCTGCACTTCTAATAGTTAATAAATTTGTTTGTATAAAATGCTAGCTTCTGCTTCTCCAATTATTCTCAGATTCCATGGCTGATTTTCTGGGCATGACAGGTTCGTGTATTATGTTAAGCTATGACTTGAACAAGACACAATTGGCTGAATTCATACTAAACTGAATAATTTTGCAAACTTCAGAGTTCATGCAACATTCTATATGAAAACTAAACAAGCAGCATTATTGTTTACTATTGTCTAATACATTGAATAACACTAAAGATGCACTTTCTTTCATATTATGCATCACATTTATTCTTCCTCAGGATTTGGATTTTATCAGTATAGATGTCATCCCATGCCTATTCCAGGCATGCCAGCTTGCAGGGTTGAAGTATTAAATACAGAGATTCTAGATGTAAAATAATAGGACTGTGAAAGCATCTAGTTGTCCAATGCTTATGTGTACCATTGTCATCTTCCAGATAATAGCCAATAAAAAAAAAAAAGAAATCCCCCTCCATTACAAATTCCTGAGTCAGCTTTCCGCAAACTAATAATGTTCATGCACACTGGAACGGCATCTTCTAGAATTCTAGCCAGCTTGGCCAAAGGATACAAGTTGGAAAGATTGCTCATTGTAACCCTGGCAATTACAAACATAAACAGTAATAACTGGCATGGTAATATTTCAAACTATTGTATGCAATCTTCTATTATTTTGTCAGGATGGTTACACCCCATAACTACCAGCAGAGCATAGCAACTGAAACTCCAAATGATACTACAGTTCTTTCCTACAAGGAAATATGAGTAGCAAGTACCTTTCAGATACTGATAAATATAACCCCTTGTAAATATCTGGAAACGCTTTTCAAGATGACAGATATAGCATTTTTTCACTGTCGTAACTGTGAGATGGGGTTCCGTTCCAGACGACTGCTAGAGAAGCACACCGAAAAATTCTGCATTGGACGAGAAATGGCAATGAATTTAAAATACTGGCACAGGCAAGCACAGCATAAAAGGAAAGAGTCCAAGAAAACAGAAATGGCAGACAGCATGGTAAAAGAAACGGCGTGATTTTTATTAATGAAAATTATTTTGAAAGTTACTTTGATTGGCCTGAAGATGAGAGCAGGAGATTGCTTGATAATGGGCTTGATAATAATCCTGCACTTTATACCTGCACTTTTTTTCTGATAGACTAGTAGGAGATAAAATTGTTTTGTTTTTGTATGCTGAATAACCACCTACATGAAATCGTCTTGTTTTTCCTTGTAAAACCTTTATTCTAGGGACCCAGATTTTGTACTTGAGAGTCTTCAAAGGAACAGTCAGTGGAGTAACACATGGAAGTACTTGTATGTTTTAGCTATTCAGTATAGGAATGCTAAATTTGTCATCAATTAAAATATGCTTTTTAAACGTTTAGAAGAAAAAATGGCACAGGAATGGAGGAGAATTGTAGTAGTGCTCATATATAATATGTCTGTAATTATGGCACTCTAATGATTATGAGCCCCCCTTGATACTTGAATAAATTCATTTCATTCAATACCTCCTATCAAGCATTAGGAAAAAATTAGATGCATGCATTTGTTTATTCTATTACTACTATTACTAATAGTACTACTACTAGTGGTAGTAGACAAATTTTTAATTTCTTCTCACAAACATTTCATTTTCCTCTTGAAAGTATAGCATGACTACTGCTGGCTAGTAATTATGGGAGCTATAGCTAATATATAAAAGACATTCCAACCTTCTTGAATATGTACCTTGGTCATGCAGTATTTATTTATTTTCTCTCTTGGGTGCTGGTATCTAATGGATCAACATTATTAGCTTCATGTGTCAAAGCCAGAAAAAGACAATTTCAGACATGTCAAGGGGAATGGGGAACACGAACAACAAGTCCATAAAGTTCGAAGCGCCGATGATAATGGAAAAGTTTCAGATAACCAGGCCTTGAAGAAACTGACTGAAGAGGTAAACCTTTGTCTTTCTCATAGATGACTTTGCTCCTATCAGCTCATCAACCTCTACCAGAGTAATTAACTGATTTAGGACTTAGACATTTTAAACTGTACTTTGGCTTTTGGATAATTTTAGCAAATCAAATTTCCAGCATCTAGTTCAGATTTCTCCTACAGACTGCTACTACATGGTATTTCTTGATAAAGGAAATAAGTGAATAGTGTTCAAGTATGAATCTTGATATAGCAATGAATTAATCAGTGGTTTTTTAACCAACATTTATAAAGGAAGTATGCTATTTAGTAATTTTTCTGTTTTACAGTTCCACAAATTAAGGATATCACTTGAAGGCACACTTCCAACATTTCGGACACTCCAGGTAAATGAACATGAGAAAATTTAACATTTTGGGGGGGCTGAAAAGAAATTTATAACATCACACATACAGGAATATAAACCCATAAAAATCTATGCAGCACTGCTTTTCTGTTGTGTCAGACTAGGGTTACAGTTTATTTTGTAAATTATCATTATGGTTCCTTGCACAGTCAGCCAGATGTTCAGACTGGATCTGGCATTTTTTTCTTCCCAAGAACGTGGGATAGGCAGATGTGGATTTGGATGGTGTTAAATTACAAGCTTATCGCCATAATTTAATTATTATAATTATAATATTTATAATTAGCTGTGTAATACAGAACCACAATTCACATAGTATGTTGTTCCGGTTCCTTGGGAAATTACTCCAAACTCACTTTTGTAAGTATTATGTATTACAAATACATAACCATACCCAAACCCTCTGAATTTGTTGGCGATGTCCATTTTGCTCTCTGAGTTCATGGTGACCTAACCCTAACCCTAAGTGGAATTTTCATCCAATGGGATTTTACCATGTATTTTACCAGGAAACATAGATAGGGCAGGCTACAAAAGGCAGTGGTCAGTGCCCTACTAACCATACACAAGCACTCAGATTTCTTGGCAATGTCCATTTTGCTCTATGAGTTCATGCTGACCTAACCCTAATCCTAAGAGGAATTTTCCTCCAATGGGATTTTCCCATGAATTTTACCAGGAAACATATTTACGGCAGCCTAGAAAAGTCAGTACCTTCCTAACCATACCCAAGCACTCCAAATTTGTTGGCAATGTCCATTTTGCTCTCTGAGTTCATGGTCACCTAACCCTAACCCTAAATGGAATTTTCCTCCAATGGGATTTTCCCATGTATTTTACCAGGAAAGATAGATAGGGCAGCCTAGAAAAGTCAGTGCCCTCCTAACCATACCCAAACCCTCTGAATTTGTTGGCAATGTCCATTTTGCTATCTGAGTTCATGGTGACCTAACCCTAACCCTAAGTGGAATTTTCTTCCAATTGAATTTTCCCATGTATTTTACCTGGAAAGATAGATAGGGCAGCTTAGAAA